ATATTCGGATAGTTGAAGTTATTTGAATAGCAACTCAAGTAAGTCTGAAACTATATTTTCTGATTTTCTGAACACAAGAAATTATTTTGAAAAATTCCCAAAATAATATAACTGTTTTTGGAAGCTCTGCGAAAATTTTTCCAATTTTGTGAAGTGAATTTAGGCACTCACTATGCATACGCATTGTTAGAAGTCATTTTTTACCACATCCGTAGAAATTTGACAGATCGAAATTTTCCTGGTTGAAGGGACGGCAGCTGGTTTTTTTTCTTTACAGGCGTTTTGTATATAAGCTGTGTATACTCTATATAAGCGAAACCTAATGGCTCATCCTCATGATTGAAAATCTTCAAGTCTCTTTGTTGTCGATTGCTTACAGTTTTAACCAGGAGCTGTAAAAGAGGGTAACAATTTACTCTATATAATAGTCAAAACGTACTATACAAAAATACGCTAGTCAAAACATATTTCTAGTCTCATTGAGAAGAAAGCTAACTAACTGTATGCATGTTTTTTTTTAATTTTATAAGTTACGTTGTGTCTATAAATCGACAATCGCCTCCAATAACCGGTAGTTTAAACCACATAGAGCGCCATTGTTGTATGATATCAGCGTTGTTTTGATAATTCCGTCCAATACGAAATGGAATCACTCCAGGAGTTAAATTACATCGAATTGAACTCCATGTACGTTGAAGTCTCGAAACTTGTTGGAATACATCCTTAAATGTTCAACTATGACCAGTTTGACAAAACTTCAAAAAATAAACGTGCTCGAATGCTCGGAAGAATCGTTTGAGGTAAACATTATTTATTTTTTTTTTTGCTTTATAATCTGTAACAGTATTTTATACCGTACAGTCTGTGTTAATAAAGAAAGATATTCTAATATCTTTCTTTATTAATACTTTAGCATATATTATCTATCATTATTTCTAGAAATAATTTGAAATTTCAGCTGTTCATTAAATCTTTTACATTATTTGGGCCCAACAATCAATATACAATCAAAAGTAGTATTAAAGCTGCCTCGTATGTAAATTTCAAAGAACCTCTTTAAGGACCTTGCTGCATATATGTATAGGTCCTCTAAATGACTAATTTTCTATTTCTTATACATTATCTAGTAGGAAGAAAACTTTTTACCATATACATGTGACGTCTGAACAAGCAAATATATGTTTCATTTGGAGCACCACAACTGTTATTTCTAGTTTAGTCGGAACATTAATAGAATGTTCCGACATTAATAGAATAGTTTCCCACCAGCTGATCTAATTATGTTATAAAAATGCTATCTGCTTTACATTATTTATGGGACGTAAATCTTGCTTTTCACAATGTCCCATCATGGACGTCAAACAAATGCTACAAACAAAGTGATATTATTTAATCTCCTACGAGAACAACCATGTGAGTATGTAAGAATTCGAGTAATATGGCGGGCCTTAATCTAACAGTTGCAAGCTATTGCAGCTGAAGGAAGGGGCTCTCCATTACAGAAATACCTACAGCGTTTCTGAGGTGTTCAATATAGACTTTTCTAAAATGTACAGTATATCTCCCGAAAACGTAGCTAAGAGATTTAAATTCAACGAATAAAGATGCACACAGTGGCTGTAAATTGTCGCGTCTTAGCTATTTTTCGGCAAACAAAAATCGATTATTCTTAGTATATAGCCAGAACACTCTGACGATATTGCAGTTCCAACCTTCTTCTTTATTATTATTATTATTATTATTATTATTATTACAAAAACAATAGTAGGTTGAGTGCGATGACTCAGAGCTGACTGTAATGAAATTAATTTTAATCCAGTGAATGTGTCAATTCTCAATAGTACTACCGAAGTTACGCGCGACTACTATCTCCTTTGTGGCCGACTTGCGTCACTTTTTCGTTTTCTGTCGTGGCTGTCCGCCCAAACAACGGTTCGATGTGTCGTATATCTTATTTCATTCTAAAGACGCACGGGTACAAGTCCTGTTGTTAGCTATTTATGCTTCATTTAAAACTGCTATTTGTATTTGACATCTAGTACTTGACGGAGTTTTCGCGGCTTGTGGCCGATGTTGATACTGTCAAGTCGTTTGTTTATTCGATTATTTGCAACCTTTACTTGTGTTTTGCATGAACGTATCTCTCCATGTTTCCGCTCTCGCGCTCTACTCGTCGTTGCGCGTTCGCTGGCTGGCTAATGTCTAACATTGGCGAGTCCATTTCTCCGTCCGCTGTCGGTCGGTCCGTTGGCCGACAATCGCGGTGCTCACAAACCCTCTCCAAAAAGTCGGCCTTTTGAGGGAGAGGCGGTCTGGCAGCGCAGGACGGATAATTTATCCCGGACAGACTTTGGCCAGAGGAACAGTCGTCTGACATTCTGGCAGATAATCCACCTGAGCGGACACAGTTTTGCCCTGTGTGTTGCCACTAGCACCACCACCACCACCACCTGAGCAAACCGAAGTGTGTAACCATCAACAACAACGACAGTACGAACGTGAGTGCATTTATTTATGTGTAGTTGAGCCTATAAGTGAATATTGTTTTGTGCGTACCTTGGGCGCTGATTGCGTGTCTGTATGTGACTGACCGACTACCGCGTTTCAATTTAGATAAACTGTTAATTGTTTTACGAAAAAAGAGATTAAGGTGTTGCGGATATATAATGAAAGGCAGATATTTTATGACACCGACTTATGTAAATGGCAAGCAGATTTTTGTTATCTTTATCATCTGCTTCGTTCAAGTCTCTGACAGTTGAATTTCGTAAAGCAGATTCCTAATGCTCAGGGATTGTACTACGTATATCATAATAACGAACTGATACTTACATATTTAAATTGTCTTCTAAAGTTGATTTGTAAGGGATCCTGAATTTGATTGATATAGGTTTCAAAATACGAGTATATATCCACCCAGCTTCGGTAACAAATAAAATTCAATGTGAAAAATAGTCGATATGTCAAAAAGCTTCTTTCACAAGAGTGACCTAGCCAGACTTGCGCATATATATTATTATGAATTTAGAGGCCACACAAACACAATGTAGATATAATCACAGAAAAAGAAAAGGGAAAACCTTCATAATTATAATTTCAAAAATTCCGTTCTCCGCTACTCCTGAATTTGGAATCAACTATAGACTTGGCGCAAAATGGATGACGTAAGAAAACTCCATCATTCCTACATGAATTTCATTAGAGGTACAAGGTAGTCTGACTTCTAGGTTTAGCCAAACGGGCAGCCCTGCGCAAAAACCTGCACCAATATGGTATCGACGATATCCGCCGATCAATAATCCCACTCAATAGTTTGTGGTCAAATATAGATATATTTGTCGAAACTTAGGCAAGGAGAACTTGTCATAGTAGCACGTATTTGAATCAGACAGAGTTAGATACATATTTTGGGCTTTAGGCCGTTATTTCTATTATTATTATTATTATTATGATTATAGCCAGCATTAGCAGTGAACGCGAGTAAAATTTTTATTGTGTCATGTTCTTTTACACGTAAACAGTGGCGTCTCGCTAGGCAGCAGCCGTCGCTGCTGCAGCTACTCTCTGGCTATGTTGGGCATAACTGTAGTGAAAACTGGTTTGTTTGATAACTGGCTTCCGCCCACCTTTAGCATTGAATTCCAAATCAAGTCAAAGACTGATGCCGCGGATGTTTACGGCGGCAGTACAGCCAAGTGACGGCAATGGCTGCGCGCGCTGCCGGGATGAATTGCCGAAGATGGTCAGAATCTGAGCAGAAGCATGACAAAGTGTGTAACTATGCGAATAGCAGCAACGGTGGACATATAACTAAAACCGCCTATCCAGAAGGCGCTGCTGTTGCAGTAAGCGAATCAGTGGCGCTCATTGAATATTATTACTGTTCATTAGGTACAATAGTGAAGGTAGCAGATATTATTGTTATTATTATTTGATAATAGCAGCACCACTAAAAGTGGTAGTAGTAAAAATAATAATACTAGAAACATCGCATCGTCAGATCGGTTATGTCCTAACACATGACGTCTGTAGTGGAAGCGGGAAGGTTGTAGTGTATCGTAGCACTCGCGATCTATTGTCGCGCTTCTATCGGTCGACTCCTGAAATGTTCATTACTGAAATGAACTGCATGCAAACTATGCATCATTTGATCCGTTGCGATGATACCTAGTTTGCTGTCTCCCTAACTTACAGGTTGGGTGACAAGTCATATTACGGCTGAGAACCAAAATATTTCGATGTCAAGTTCGTAGTTGTTTGCAAGACATATGGCGTGCTACGCCATGCTCGAACACCCACACACACCCACTCATCAGCCTATGCACAGTACGTTTTTTTGGTAGTAATTTTATAATAGATATCTTAAACAGTTCAGAAATTTGTGGTAAGGATGTGCCGTCACTCATACGTTTCTCAGCTTGATGCATATCAATGCTTCGTGGCATTTCCATCGACATAATTCCTATTGATATTTTTAAAACACTTATGGATTTCATGGGGCCCGAACGGGCCCGAAACTCACGAATCTAATTAGAGTGATAGACCCTGATTGTAATCTCATTTTAGGCCCCAAGACCGTACCAAAACTAGGCATAAAGGCGAATAGGATCAGCGTCACTAATGTAGTTGCCTCAGGTCAGCGAACCAAAGTGCAGCGGCGCCTTGTAAAACAACAGGGGATCACATGGGTTTTGCCTGAACGTTAAAGTAACAGGTAACTGCTTTAATAGGATCACTGTTCGATGGACAAATTCTGGTAACGTTGCCCGATGCAGCTGCTAACTTTTGAGGTAGAACTTGAATACCCATTTCTGCGCCAATATGTGATCATTAACCGCGACAGATTGGAAATTGTTTCTGTTTATTCTATGCTCGCTTCCGCATGCATAGACAATCTCGTTTTATATAGGAAAAGACTCCTGAATGAAATGATTTTACAAGTGGCTTGACAGGCTATGTTCGTACCATTTAAATAGTTTTTATTTTAATTCTGAAAACTGCTTGTTCGTGAAACGACATGTCAACCAAAACGAATATACACATGATTGATCTTGATTAAGTGGTGCGCTAATCTTGAAAAACGTTAGAGGTAATCTTTAGGATCGGTCTAACAATCGATGTGATCGATCCGTGTATTAAGAATGGCAATGTGAGGGTATTCATTTTGGCCCAACATTTAAATGATATCTCGTTTGCAGTATCTTACCCTTTAAAACTGACCTAGAACTGTATGCAAACTACGATTTAATATAACATGCTAGTGTAATCTTTCGGCTATACATAATTGGGTGTAACTCGGAGCTATCGCTTAATTTCAGTACAAAGCGCCTAGTGTGCAACGGAGGCATACTATAGCAGTAGATAGCTGACAGAACGACGACGTGACGGGGTCCATCTAACGTTATGGAAGGGGAGACGAGGCGCTTCGTGTAATCTAATCAGATTAATCTAGAAAATACTCTTTTTGATCACTTCAGTTGACCTGTGACAAAGGCCGACTTAATGTTGCTATTCTCCTTTTTGCTTTGGTAATCGGGGCCATACTGAGTAACATTTTCATTACGCTTGCCGCTGCGAGAGCTCAAACAGGATCTTCGACCACACCCATCGAAATACATCTGGCTGTCCGTACTATGGCGTCCAAAGTTGTTGCAGGTGTCAACGCTTGCGCGTAAAATGTGTAGTGTATCCGGCTTTCCTAACGTGAATAGTCGACCTGGGTTCGTACAATGTATGTGTGGCGACAAAAATACAATCGAAGAAAGAGTGACCAGAAAACAAACGTCTCCAAAGCAAACGCGAGACCCATTAGATCCATTACTGGATATGCACCTGTAAAAACCCATTCCTAGTTCAGTCTTTTGCATTTTATTTACCACCTAACAAACAATATACTACTGCATTGTTATTGTTCATTTGCAAGTAATTTTCGTAAACTTTTAATTAAATTATCTCAAAAGACTGGCTTAATTCTATATTAGGGACAGACTTTGACGCTTGTATTTGTGCTTGAAGTCTTATGGGTGTACACACGTGTATGTACGATGGTCTACTTTCAATTTAACGGAGTTTGCACCACAGCCCCTTAGAATCTACTAAGTAGTTATATTTGTGTAAATATTCGTTTGCAATGCTAATTAATGATATAATCGTCTAGCTAAGAAATAAACGAATAAACATTAACAGTAACAAAGCGAATGACAGTCCGATTGAAAAATCTATAGTATGATGTGAGAATAATAAACTGCTGTTAACTAGTACAAAGGAACTATACATAAAAATCAGAAGAAGAATAGTCGATTTATCCAAAAATCAATGCGCATGACAAATGAATGGTAATGTTTAATAATATATAATAAGTGATAATACATAATAATTTAATAATATATAATAAGTAATATCTAGCGTCATCATGATACCGTTGTTGTCGTCGCGTTGCTCAGCCATATTGTTTTATCGCAATGCCATGGGTACCTTCTAGTGTTGTTCCTTGCGTAGTAACTCTTAAATGGCCTCCTACTGAAATAGGCAATCTTTGAGATGCAGAACAAAGTCACCAAACAATCCGCCGTACCATTAGTGAACGGACCAAAACACTGTTTTGAAAGCACTGTATTGTTTTGAAATGTGAGACCGCTTCTTAACTGCTGCCGGGCGGTACAAGGGCACCGCGCCTGGCCGATGCATAACTGTAGTGTTTAACGTCCGCTACTTTAAAAACATGTACTGATTGCCCTAATAATCCTTTGGCCTCTGTCGATTAAAAGTCATATACAACTTAAGCGAAATGGGGCCTCGCTGGATTCGTTTCAAAGAGAACTTATAACAAACGGGACAAATACTCTCCTGCAGGAAATTCATGACAACGTAGCGGCTTGACCTCACGTAAGGAAGAAGTGGCTGTTAATGGTAGAGTTAGCTAACCATGCAATCTGTTGATGGATGTTTCTTTGTACTTTTGCCAAATCATGCTGTGCTCTTAAAAGGTTTTATTACCTATGCATAGCTATGCAAAATAACACAACGATCTACGGATCAGGCTTATGTAATATGGAACCTAGTATACTTGAATGTTAAAGATAAAACCATTGTAGCATTCAAAGAGTGGTCTGGTCAAACAATAATAATAATAATAATAACAACAATAATATTATTATCCATCATAATAAATAACCGTATGGAAGGTTATAAAATAACTACTATTTCCCGATCTTAAACAAGTCGGACACAACATCGAAGACAATATTACCTTCATTACTTTAAGCCTACTGAAGCAATTGATCTTGGATTCCAAGATTTATTCATTTAGAAACTTTGAAAAGGTAGAGCCAATACTACCGAATGTTTTTTTCTCAGAGGATATGAGCTAATAATAATAATAATAATATTAAGGGCCAGGGACCTAAGATTTTCCGCAAAGACCTCGCAGTGAGTAAATCTTAACCTCAGTTATGTTTACAGGATTCTACGAGTTAGTCCCAAGTCTAAACACCAATTCATGGAGCATCTTCATGGTCATTGCTTACTTAATCAATTGTATGATGTTACAGCAATTAGATTTGTACTCTGTTTTCATCCACTTCACGCTTCCGATCTGCTAAAGGAGACCTCACTTATTCAGTGTACATTATATTACACATCATTATAATTATATCAAAAATAAGCAAACATCTATATGTTACCTACATTATAATCAAACCTAGAACAAGCAGCTATATATTTGTAAACGGCTACGCAGACTGTTACATCAATCGAAACACGATTCGAGTGAGTCGCCACCGAATTTGATGTAGAAAGTTCAAGTTTTTATGGTCAGTAGTCTTGCGTTTTTAACTCAAATAGTAATCGCTATAAATGTTGGTCAGTAAAAATTTTAGTTGAGGTCTTGTGAGAACTCTTTTTTATATGTGGCGTGACAAATGTGGTGCTCTTTGTAGTTCTTATGTAGACCTTGTGTAGATTACAAGGCAATCGCTGTCTTTTCCTGCACTCTTAATTTACTTTGCACTACCATAGGTATGTAAGCAATCATACGTTCTTTGATTCATTGCAGTATGGCTCCTGAACGCCGCGTTCCGATCTCTCGCAGTGATCTCTCAATTCTGGACAATGAGTTCTCGAACGTTCGAGAGAGATTTGAGCAGGAGATGAGGCGCATGGAGGACGAGATGTCTCGTTTTAGAAGCCAGCTTGCAGATCACGAGCGAGACGTATTTTCTCGAGGTCTGACAAGCCAGCCGCGAAGCTACCTGGACATGTCGTCGCCACTTATTCAGGATACTCCTGACGGCGGGCGCGAAATCAAGCTGCGATTTGATGTGAGCGACTATGCGCCGGAAGAAATTGTTGTCAAAACGGTCGACAACCGCCTTCAAGTGCACGCAAAACACGAAGAGAAGACCGAAACGAAGAGCGTCTCCCGTCAATACAACAGGGAGTTTATGCTTCCCAAGGGTGCGTGGGTAACAGGCTCAAGTATCTGTAATAAAATGTACATTCATATATGTATGTGATGAGATATTTTTTTTCTATGCTAACTAAAAAGTCAAGCTCTTAGCTTAACTTTCCTCAGCTATGTGTAGTCGATGATGATAGTCGGCTAAGTCTCGATACCAACCATTCTTTTATAGTTTTATATTTGTATTGTATAGCTTTCCAAAGTACCCGTGTACCTACGTGAGTACCCAGCTACGCAGAAAAAATTTCAAATGAGGCGCAATGGAGTCTTTGCTGGATCCTAATAGGGCTTTTTATTTCTCTTTCAGGAATAAACCCGGAACGCATTACATCGTCATTATCCCGCGACGGTGTTCTCACTATTACAGCTCCGCTTCCTGCTATTGAAGACAGTCGCGGTGAGAAGATGATCCCCATAGCGCATCAATAAACGACCTTACTCCTACCTTAAAGCTTACTTGACTGACAAAAACAACGTAAAATTCAATCATTGAAATGCATTGGATCAAAGCGTCTGCCCACGCAAAATACCTAATACGATTGAGAGTGAAACTATAGAAGTACAATAGCCATGTGTTTTTATTTTAATTAGTAGTTCATGCACTATAGAACGCGCGAAATGTTCACAGAAAGTGCGTTATTACTCAAGCATACACTCTTTGATATGATTTCATTTGACACGATAAACATTTAAATTTAAGAGCTAGTAAACTCATTGTTTCTGATGTAGTGCTTCTTTCATTCATGACTCAATATCTCGCGAGTTATAAGCGTCAGAACGATAACTTTTAATTGACATACTACGAGATCACACCGATTTAATTGTGCGCCACGGAGACCGTCAATGAGACGAATATTCGCCATCAGTACAAACGTATTCTATTTCTACAAAAAAAGAAACACGAAAAAGCGTACCAATATTAGGAAACCTAATGCGAAACCTAATAGATAACATGCAAAAATTATAATAATCAAAACAAAACCATAATCCAACGAAGAAAATTAGTAAACATGCCTAACCTTTGTTCTTGTGAAACATAAAATAACCGTAACTGCATCACCTTGATTTGTTGAAGTCCATTCATTGAGTAAAGAAATATAATATATAGGCGTCGATATTTCGATTAAAAGCTAGAAAGCTGGAAAAGCCACGAATGAAATACATGCCCAATGCGCGCTACACACATGCCATGTAGGTGCCTAAAGGCGGTTGTGCTATATATAAAACGCAAGTCCCACCCTCCTAGAAAATGAAAAAGAAATATCTTATAAAACGTGCTTCAAGGTACGTTTATGTGCCTTATTTTTACTATATGAACAACTACGAAATATATGCATATATTGCTGTCAAGTTTGTTTAGCACAAAAATTAAGGGAAGAAACCATGCCCCAATAGGCTTGACATGAACTGATTCGCTTATTATCCGGAAGAATGACGGTACCAAGGTCTTCCTCTAAATACTCAAGTCAAGAATACGCGTTTGCTAAGCAAGCATCGACGGAGGGTTTTCACTTAAATTTCGCGGCGGTGTGTAGGCGACTCAGATGTATGCAAAAGCCTCTATTAGTTGTGGTATGGTCTAGGTTTGTGTGTGGGTGTGTGCTTCGCTGGAAAGGCAAAATAGATAATCATGAGTTTTACACATATATATAGCGGTATCTCAGTGAAGTGACTCAACCATTCTGCAACTCACAACTTGGGTTAGTTTAAATGATTGTGTACAAAAAATAATATTAAATTAAGACCAGTAGAAGCCGTAAATACTATTGTATTAAGGGTGGTCCTCTAAATCGACGATTCTCTCTAGACGATATTTCGACTTCTCGAGCAGGTCAAAGAGATCTTCCTCTTCCCATGCACACACATGTAGTCGTAAACATTTTCGTCGCACTAAAGTAAAAATAGCTCCGATCATGTTTTTCTGTTCCTAATAATATAAAGAAACTCGAACGATATCGAAAGTTAGTGTGCATATTAAACGGGTATTCAACGGATGTACAGATAGCTAATAGGTCTGCACATTTCCCGTTTGGCGAACGCACATCAACGAAAATGAATGTGAATCTAGAAGCGTTTGTATAACTCTTAGCTGTGTAGACGACAACGCAATTGATTTAAAAAAAGGGACCTTACATGCCTTAGAAGGTCGCCTTTCCACAAAGTCAGAGTTTATTTTGAGCAAAGTAACCCTTAATGCTAAAATATTTCGATGTATCGAAAATTTAAAAAAATGCATCATGAGTGAGAAATAAAGCTTAGCGTTTCTCTGATATAAAGTGAGTCATTTTACATCTACGGATATATAGTATATAAGTACTAAAAGAGCAGCGTAGAAAGTGCGTACATCTATATGCGCGTGTAAGTACATCAATATATTTCTTTAAATCGAAGGCTCTTGATAACATTAACCGTGTTGGTAAAGCGCTTAAGTGTAAAATGCTGAATAGTTTGACTTTGGTTGAGAGCCTTTTTTTTTTTAGCAAAATCACAATTGATAATTAGGAACGCTAATTTGCAGAGATAATAGTCCACTACCAAGTCATGTGGTTTTGTTACTAAAGAAAAGCTACAATATTATATATTCGATTTTATCTCAAATAAATTGTTTCTTCCTGTAGTTTGCCAGAGTTTTTGTTGAGCTAATGAAGACTCAAATGGATCTTTGTAAGGGCCAATAATAAAGCCTGAAATGAGGTACCGGGGGCTTAAGGGCGCGTTATTCTTGCTCAAGTTAAACTTCGTGTTTAACTCTTTTCGACGGTAGAATTTCCAAGCATCAGTAAACATCTCTGATTTTACATCTCAGATATTCTTATTGATCTGAACTTAGCTGTGAACTGGTAGACATGGGACCAAAATATAAAAGTTTCAAGCAATGGAAATGTAGACGTTCTTCACTTTGTTTTCCAATTGCAGGTTCATAAAATGGCTATTTTATAGTTTTTAAAACTTATTATATCCGTCTTATATGTTTTTAGCGTTCGTATACCAAATAGCGATCTCTTCCAAACGAGGCAAACATCTTAGTACCGCGGGAAAAAAATGACAGAGGTTTAATAAGTAAAACGCACACAGATTGCCGTCACCAACTCGAAAATATTACCCAATATCGAAAAAAAAAATAGCGTAAGCTTAATTCATATAAATTGAAAGATATTTGGTTTCCATTACGATTTCATGCGCTCAAGTTTACGAAATCCATACTATCTGAAGAAATCAATTCTTACCTGTTCGCTTATTCAGCACGTGCTTCTCCTAATTCAGCTACTTCTTCTGTATTTCATTACACTATACAGTTAATTAAAGAACCCTACAATAAGAACAATTAACATTTTATGGAGTCATTTTATCCGAAGTTTAATTCATCTTTTATTCGGAACTGTTATCTATCGCATCTTATGTGTGTAACGCCACGCGGATGCATTTATAGATAGTTATCGACTGTAGCTCTTTTTGAACTCTATTATTACTATTGCTAAAACAATATAGTAATCATGTGTACATTCGCTTCAGTGTACGTTCATAAGCTCGATCATCTTACTCACAAAAGACATTTTACAGCGTCTGTAAATAGATCGTTCCTACGAAACTCCGTCCTTTGGCAAAATGTTCATGTTTCATTCCGTCCCACCCTATCCCATAGTATAAAGCATCACAGAAGCTATGCTCTTTGTCTATTCATGTTCAATAACATCGAATACAAAACAAAATGAACTAGAATACACAGCGGTTGTTGCATTTTTATTGACAATCGCAAAAGCTATTACTCTTTTCATTTGCCTTTTCAATTATGTACGATATTTTTATTAATTAATTTATTTACTTATTATTAATAATGTATGTATCGTCTTTATGGAAACTTCTCTGCCAAGTTATACAATCTCGTTCCTGCAGTAGATTTCCGAACGGAACTTCCGTCCGCAGACGTTTTATGTTTCTCCCGCTTTGTTCGTCTTCTAGTTACAGTCAATAATCCTCGGGGGCATCCCAATCCGTATATGGTCTCCTACCCGGAAAGCCCCTGGAACCAAAGGATCAATCAAGTCGGAACGAGTGTCACTTTTGTACGTGTCTTTCTTTCTACTACCCATCAGTTCTTCCAGGTAGCTAACGATATCGGCGACGCGTTGACAACGACACATCGATTACTAAATATGTCTCTCTTTTCAAGCTGACACGTTCAGTACATAAGCCTAGGCACGCTAAACTAGCCATCACTCAACCACGTTTTAGGGTAGGGCACCTCTGACCGTTTGTTTTGATTTTCCTCGATAAATTTTCGACGGCTAATTGCATACATAGCGTCGTATATTGCATTGAGATTATTCTCGTGCCTTTGTTCGTGTCTCTTTCTTTGTCTGTCTATGTCTCTCTAGAACATGTCAAAATCAGGGGTCGTGTCGAGGTCGTGGTATCCTACAACAGGCCGGGGGTCCCGAATACCCCTGAAATGCAACAACAACACACACAACCATACTGAGTTGGTGATCTGCTGCCAGCAAATTATTTTTTCCTTCAGAAACCAACTCCTACAAACATCAATGAGTAAGTGAGCGTACTACCAGAGCCTTTAAACATAACAAACACGAATCAGTTATTAGCGGCATAGTTGGTGTTATGCATTCAGAAGTTTCCAGCAGCCCATCAAAAACCGTTCAGCGAAAACCTCACCCCGGCCTGTTGTACAATACCATGCTAGCACTGATACAAACGACTTTTTACAGTAGTTTTGGCAACAGTTAAGAAAATCATCGCCAAAGACAGCGGCTCCGACACATTCATTCTACACACAGGCGTACTTCACTTTACCAGTTCTCCAAATTACATTAAGAAAGCAACAGTATCAACCAATAACACATTCAATCATAACTCACCTAGGACCACCGGAGAAGGGAGGCCCTCCACGTTTGTTACCGTAACGTGGTCCGCCGTAAGGTCCATGATCTAAGGGGGGTCCGTAGCCTCTCATAGGGCCCCCATAGCCAGCATGAGGCGGACCGTAAGCTGCTGGGCCGCGGCCTGGTGGGTAAGCTGCATAAGGTGCTCCGGGTGCTCCATAGTGTGCATACGGTGCAGCATTAGTAGGTACGCCTCCACCATTACTGTCACCAGCCGGACCTCCTGCTCCAGTATGACTCCCATTACCTCCCGGGGGACGCGGCTTATTCGCCGGGTGCTCCGGTAGCATCGGTCGTTTCGGATCATTTACGTAATTATTATAATACATTGTCTGCAAAAAGTACATGAAAATATAAAGTTTAAAGAAAGCAGCACTCGCGTAAACATTATGTCACCTAAAGCAGGCTTCGCTTATAAACGATAGTATTTTTGACGCTTCAACAGCGCGCTGTTGTTGTCATGAGATCCATAGAGGACTTACACGAGTACTGCAATAGATACTTTATAATGCTGTATATATCTCAATAAAGAGATACAAAATATGTGACATACTACTGGCGAATGTTGAGGCTCGTTCGTCAATTAGCAAAGAGTTTGTTGACTACTGCACAGCTTTCAGTGCTAGCTCTGGTTGAGTTATCTTTGTGACTACTCGTTTAAAGAAGCGCCCTGTTGTTTACATTCACACCGATTTCTCCACCTGCCGCATCACACATAAGAAAGGCGAATGCTACTGCATTGCTTCTAGATAAAGCTACCATGATGTGCTTGAAGCTTGCCTCAGTAGTCTGATACAGAGACTAAAAATTAACTACGAGGTGATCTTGTACAGTAAGCAATTACGAAAGAATATAGCAAAGATAATAACTCACGTTCTTTTTAACTTCATCAAGTTTCTCAGCGTGCCTGTTGAGAATGTGTTTGTGTACAAATTCAGGCGCTTTGAATTTTTTGCCTGATAATGGGCATAGAAACTTCTCCTTAGCTAGCTCCACGCAATTTTCGCTCATGAACTTATCAACTTCATCTTGTTCGGTTTTCAGCCCGAGCTTCTTGGCCTCGTCGAGCGACAGGGGCCGAATAGGTTCCGAATAGGATGCAATCTTTTGCTCAAACTGGGCAATGTACTCTTCAATTTCTTTCGGTGTAACCTGTGAAGTAGGGATTGACCCTCGAGCGTGAATAATACCACAGCGATTTGGCATTTCATCCTCATTATGATATTCGCTGTGAGAATAATAATCGACCGAGTGAACGATGCGAAGATACCAAAGCAGGCGATCCAGGACGCGGGTCAATTCAGAATCCTTCTCCAGCAAAGAATCAGCATTTTCTCCTTTGACGTCGTCGCCGCCGGCTGCGCTCCCGCCAAGAAGCTCTTCTTCTTCAGCACTAGCCTCCTCGATAAGGTAGTCGGTGATGTTGCTCAGCAACGGGTTCTTCGATTCGGCAGCGCCCGGTTGTAGCCACAGACCACGCTGCGTGTCCAAATTCTGGATGATCTTAGCGGCTAACTTCATGTCCGACTTCATCACCGACTTGGCTGACACAATCCCGTTCACTGATCGCACACGGCGGGACAAATCGCGGTTTAGAATTGCTCCCAACTCGGTGTCACGAAGCTGCAATTGTCAAACATTCATTTAGTTTGAATATGACAACAAATTAGAAGATTATTTGACAAATGAGAACGTGAACAGTTCATACTAAACGAGGTCATATTGTGCGGAAATATAATGATTCGTTCAAAATTATGTTGCACTTTTGCCCTAAAGATGTTTCCATAAGGTTCCACCATCGAACGACCCAACCTAATTTTAGTCTTACGTACACCCGTGCCTAAAAACGTTAGTTATAACGAAGGAAATACACTAACCCGGATATTGTTCAGCTTCCAGCAGATCTCCTTTGTGTTAACATGACGTTCGAAAGTGATCCAACCACGACGGTGAAACTTCCGTTCAGGTTGAGGATCAGCCAATGCAACCCGAAGGAAGCCAGGATAGTTTCTACACATTGCTTCTACCTCCTGTTTCGTGATTGCGGCAGATAACGTACGCAAAAAAATTGACGAAGTTCGATGCAGATGGCGAGGTCGAGCAACACCAGGCTGTTGTTCAGTCTTAGGCGCAGCTTCTGTACCGCCCTCACAGACGGCATCAGCGTTTCTCGCACCGGCATTTTCGGTAATGTCCGCTTTCTGTGCCCTTTCTGATCCTGTTTTCTCTTCGTCCTCTTCGCCACTTTCAAGATCGGCTTTACTAGGCTCTTTACCACTGTTACCGTCCTGTTTATCCTCTGTCGCATCACCCTCGACGCTGTCTTCATTGTCTTTCGAAATCTCATCGTCGCCTTCCTCTTTCTTTGCGTCATCGGCCTCATTTTCACTTAAGCCCGAATCGTCATCCCCTTTCTCCTTCGCCTTTGCTTCTTCGCCTTCCTTTTTCGAGTCGTTTGTTGATGTGGCGCGTTTCTTGTCTTTGTCATTGCCCGCTTTCTCCGTGTCCCTATTCCACGAGGAATGCAAAGAAGCAATTAAATATGTAATATTATATATATATATATATATAAAACGACATATCCCTCTCGAAAAATGTTTTGCATACAAGCAGGGCTTGGCATACATCTGTTTCTCAACAAAACTTGCAAAAATCAACGTAAGAAGAGGAACGACCTTAAGAAATGAAAAAATATAATGTGTCGTCCGATTTCATAACGCTGAATTCACCTGGCAGGCTCGAGGATATGTGGCTTCGTCTCGGGCTCTGGTTCGTCGAGCGCCTTGAGGTCATCTTCGTTGCCCCCTTCAAGAAATATGGCTACCGTGTCCATAATGCGAATAATGTCATCGTTCTTCTCCACATCCAGCTCGACCTTGTCCAGGAGGCCCATGTCACTAACCTTCTGGTATACCTCCAAGCGCTTCTCGATGTTGGCCTGCATTTGCTCTTTCCGTTTGTGGCATTCGTCTGGATGATACTTCAACCGGAACCTTCGTAGCGCCAAATATGACAGTAGCAAGCAGTAACCAATGAGACAAAAGACCCAGGACACACACACATACACACACACGCACTCGGATATCGTTAAGTTAGACAAATCAAGGCAGCTATAAAACCATACACCCCACAGTGCCACATGTGAAGAAGCGACGTCCAAACATATCGCACACCGTGCTGCCATTTCTTCTAGCGAGAAAAATGTCCGATGTAGTATTCTAATACACTGCCTCGATATTTTCTCGATTTATAACGGAAACAATAATGACACGTCTACGCAAAAGCTCTTTGTTGTCGATTAACAGAATGCTAAGCACACAGGGAGTGTTTTCTTTTCTCTGTATTGGGTGATATCATCAAACAACATTCATTCTAACGTCTTGATGTCTGCTTTCTGCGTCTTCGTGGGATATTTCTCTGCTGTTGGTTTTGCTCTTACCCATTTGAGTTTCGGTGTCTCGAAAACAACCGTCAGTTCTCACAACTAACGATCACATTTGGTCGCATTTTGTGTTTATCTAGAGCCTACACACGGCAAGCAGAAGGCTTCCGTAAGAAAATCAGCTAGGGTAGTGCCTTGCGCGCACCCCCGTCCCTATACACAAAAGTAGGCGCACGAGTCGCTTGTGGTGGCTGAACCAAAATCCTGCCACCGATCCACCAGAAATCGCGTCACAATCGAACCACTGACGTGGTGCTCCCCAGGCATCTCGCGACCCGCCTGGCTCCTGCCTGAAAATGCCGAGTTAGATCATAGACCGTACGGTCCGACGCCCGTTGAATGGTAACCACTAATCCATTGTATATCTAGGGGCACTATAGGTGCAATGTTACGAAGACGAGTCATTATACTCGTAACAAGGATAAAAAAGATATTCCCATATCGATCAACGATGGGGTCCGACAACAGTGGCATCCCATTAATGAAGGTAACCTACGATGAATGAGGGATCAATATGAGTTATATTTAATTAATGTGGTAGGGTCGGAACGTGGCTAACTGTATGCTGCAGGCTCTGAGTTCGACCCAACCCTTTATACTCCAATTCTAGAACCTCACACGGTTAAGTAGCCACGATGAACCGGACTGATCAGAATATAAATCTAAGATCTTACAATTATGTGTATTTTTCTTCCCAATCAACTTACTGTATTAAAAAAAAAAATCAAATGCTTGGACTTTGTCAGGAATATTTACACATCTCAAATTTTTAGTAAAGCAAATAAGGAGGCTGGATATTTATCCTTAGTTCCCATAGCGGTCTGTTCAGCAGTGTCCATTTTTGTCTGTAGGTGTCAATAATGAAAATATTCGTGGGACCCACCATTCCTCGTCCTTGTGAGCCTTGAAGAACTCCTCGAGTTGCTGTCGTTTAAAGTCGGTCTTATAATCAGCATACTTCTTAACAGCGTCTTGATCGTCGATACAGTCATCCTGGTTGGCAAGGAACTGCTTAAAGGTCAGCATCGCCGGCTGACTAACTCCCGCGGTATTTGCACTAGGTTCTGACTCGTATCGCGATCGCTTAACTGGTGGCGAAATGTCCCTGCCACCACCGCGTAGTGGACTGTACGCACGCCGTCGATCGTAGTCACGCCCATAGTCGCGACCACGAGAGTAGTTATCTCTAAAACAAAAGTAAAGCCGTTGTGACCACACCGTATTTAGTTCAAGACACGATTTATGTACAGCGACCGACTTTCGTGACTGGACGTAAATATAACGTAAATGGATAAACAAAATAGAATCCTTCGCTCAATTGCAACTTGCTAGCCAAACGAACCATGACTAGACTCTGAGATAAAACCTTCTCTAGTCATGTCAGAATACAATTCATTATGAAAAATTTACACCAACAATTCAACACGCAACTTCATGATTTACGTAAAATTCACGCGAGATCGACTAATTAATATTATTATGTATTATTATGTCTCAATATTAACTCCTTATTTGAAATATTCTATACACTAAATACTTTATATTATATTAGTATTACATAAATATATTGAGTGCATAATGCTGCATAAAATGAATAATGTGAAATAATATAACGAAAAATAATATAAAGAATAAAACAGTACAAGGTTATCTAATTACATAAACTTCTAGTATTATTACCGTTCGTAGTCTCGACGATCACGGTAGTCATTCCGCTCTCTTGCGAATTTGTCCCGCCGGCGTCTGTCGAAGTCATCATCGCTGTCGGCCATCGTAGCACCGCTTCTGTCGTTGCTTCTATTGAAAAGAGCGTCACGCAAAGATAATTAGAATACAGTATTAAACTAGAACTTATTTCCAGTGGCAAGAAAGTAAACACATGCTTTTTATGGCAACGTATTTCGAGTTGCGTTTCACTGAAAGCAGTGAAAATTTCACATGTGATACTAGACTGCAAACGCTCTTAGTCATGTCCACTTCAAGGGTAGTCAATCGGTCTAGAAAGAGCTTAAATGGCACACCAATTTGAGATTGAACTTGAACCTAACTCGAGTGGCCCTAATGAAAAAGAGACACTGACAGCTTTCAGGAAAATTCCCTCTACCCTATTGCTATGTACACGGCCTAGCCTGGCATTGAATGCAATAATCATAAGGTACACAGGCTCATTTGCTATTTGAATCAAATCTCAGCTGTAAAATGAGTGTATCTGAAAACAGTTTGCGATCGCTTTCCAATTTACAATAAACAACACATCGATTGACAAGAAGACAACAAAAATAGCGCCGTTCTTCTGCATTATATTAACAAACGCATTTAGCGGCAGATCCGGATTGAACATAGTTTTAACAAAGATCACGGAAGAACAAGAACGCTAAAGTCGAAAACATGTATATCAACCTAATACTAGCAGTTATAATTTTATCTCGTGGTATTTCTGTAGCTTACATGATCGTGTGCCCAGCCTCTGTTACGCAACTTCTATACACATTTGAGCATTAGGGTAATTGAGTCAATCGTATGTTTTGACTTTTATAAAAATAGAAATCTGCGTTCGACAGGATAGGACAGAAGCAAGCCTCACTATTTCGTTTTAGGTTAATTAAGACGATCTGGAACTCCAGGTAAGGCCTTGAAGAAGGGCATTCATTTTCCGAGCTATTGACGCACAGTCATAATTGATCCGCAAATATACGTGTCGGTAGCAGTATTTGCTGTCGGTTCATTCGTTCGAGTTCTTATGGATGAAATCGATTGCTTATACGATAGCGATGCTCACCTAATCGGTTTGCGGCAATATAATCAGCACAAGTCTCGTAGCGAGCACAGAATCTTTGTTATTTTTATTCGAGCTATAACTTCGACGTCGCCGGCGTTTCTTAATGCTGCCAAGTGTAAATGAATATCGCTCCGCAACTAATGTTTTACAGAGACGCCATATTGATTTAGCTCAACACGAATACTCTAGACGAAAAAACTGCCCTTTTTATAGTCTAGCAGGTCAATTTATTTAATTTAAAACAACATTTTCCACAAAGAATAAAGTTTAACTGGTTGTGTTAATATCATTTGATGACTTACTTTGCCTGCAAAACAAAAGATGGAATCCAGGGATTGCATTAACCCATTAGCAGAAAATATTTTAAAAATTGGCGGGCTCTAAACGAAGGGATGCGCTCGTAAACTAGATCCTGTAAACTGCGATCAATTAGATCATTCAGCTATAGAAAATAGACAGTAACTTATAGGCGCACATTGGGAACACTGGGATGAGCTTCTAGTCTCCTGTTGGTTGACACACTGTATCAAAAAATGCGAGGCAGAAAACCATGTAGTAGACACCATATAAATCTATGAAGCAGCAAATAGGCTCTTCGATTGAAATACTTCTCTCTGTTTGTTTAATCCTATCAAACGGCTCCATCTTTTACTCCTTTCTCTCGCCGCCGTAACAGAAGTACGACGCGACGGTGGCTGTTGGCTGAGCAGCCGTTTCAGGCAAACTTCCTATTTTTCTAACACGCTTGCCATAACATGTTACTCTTATTTTGCCATATTTACTATATGTCACGACCAAGTGTCATCCGATCAGCGCTGATCAATCAAGGTACTCCTGAACATTGCCTATCCGGTTGCTTGAGATTATATCGCATCATCGTAGATCGTTAGCTAAGATACTCTATTTTTAAACTGATTAGATGAATTTCTACAAATGAAATTTCATACATGTTCCTAGATGTGCAATAGGCACAACAGGTTTGAGCATGTGCAGTGTATTTACCTGTACTGGTCAATGCGGTGTGGCGTACCTGAACAAGACAAAACAATGACAAGGAAGGAAGCTTTGCCGTTCGAGAATATATGTTTGATGTCATTCTAATCGGTCCCAGAGATGTTTAGCTCCTGTGGTGTTGCTTTTGTCTGCCCTTCCCTGTTCCATTTACGCCCTCTTCTACGTGAGATCACTAGTTTCCTGCCCCATTTCCGGGCGTTCGTGCGCGTTCCGGGGCTACCAACCTGAAGCAGTATCTCTACAGGCTAGGCTGGTGAGTGAAGCTGGTTAGGGCTTCTAACGTAACTTGTGCTCGTTCGACTCGCCGGCGCTCAAGTAGCGTAGCGTGTTACGTCGTCGTCGTCGTCGTCGTCTTCTTGGCGCTCGGTCTATTGCTTTGTCTCTCCCTTTCTGTTATTCGGGTGCTCGCTTGATTGCTCGCTGTGACTCTCTGCGGGCCGCTCCTTCTTTTAACCGCTCACGTCTTAAAGTGGCTGTAGCAGCGGTGCTGCTGCTGCTGCTGTCTTCGTCGTCACCATCGTCTTTTCGCTGAATGAGAATGGTAGTGTTCGTTGGTGGATCAGTGTGGAGGGCAACTTGTTGCTATTTGCTGTTGGGCTCTCTCTCCTCTGCTCGCAATGCGGCTAACAGCGACCCAATGTGTTATGCTACCTATAGCTATGGTACGCCGCTAACCCGTGCATTCAAAGTGCTATCATAGTTGTTATATCGTGCGTGCTGCGTGATCTGCTGCTCAAGGTGCTGCTGCTGCTGCTGTTGTTGTTGTTGTTGTTGTTGTTGTTATTATTATTACTGCTGTTGCTGTTGGCACTGTCGCTTCGTAAGTTTCAAATCGTTAGAGTAATAGTTGCGGGGCAAATCTTACTAGTGTGTTAGCAATTATGCTGTTCTGGTTGGTGTTGTCACAGCATCAGCAGCAGTTACTGCTGCTGCTACTGTCGTTTCGATGTGTTGGCAAGCAGCTGCAATGAAAACAGATGTGGCGCTAAAGAATGATACTCAAGCTCATGTACGCTGTCGGCGTTACGGCAGCTGGTGTTTTGTAAACTGTAATCGTTTTTGCCGTTTGGATCACCGTTGTTGTCGCTGCAAAACGCAGAGCTCCGCTGTTCGAGCTGCTGCCACTGCTGAGTGGTGCTCGTGTTGGCCAGAAAAACAGCAGCGACATCGCTAGCAGCCGCTACCGGGGGAGCGGCCGCAGTAAGTACGGAGGGAAAAGCAAGGGCAAAAACAGAAACAACACTGACTAGTCCGCCGTCGGCGCCGCGCCGCCGCCGCCGCTACTGCTGCTGCTGCTGCTGCTGTTGTCGGGCCGATCACCGTTGCAGTGGCTATCACATAAACAAACTTTCAACCTCCACAACAACTTTCTGACTAAAAATAACATCAACTAGAACAACAACGACGATGACAATAGCAACAACTAGAACAACAAAAACAATAATATCAACAACGACAATGACGACGGCCTCAGCCATATAACGAGCAAGCGGGACAGTGCGATTGCCACGCAACGCAGCGAACGTCATCGTCAGCGAAAGGCATTGCTGCCACACATCGCACTAAAAAAACAAAACGAACCACAAAAGAAATTATCGCAGTGAGTGTTGTTATTTTTTTTTTTACTTATTAAAGTGCCGGTCGTTGGTTGTTTGAATTGGTTCGTTCGTCAGTGCTTTTAGCGGATAAGTTTATTTGTGTCGGTTGTGTATACCTATCATCTTGTTTGACTATCGCACTATCGTCAGTTGCGAGTATTATTCGCGAAGCGAAAAAAGCAGCAAAAGAGTGTGACCAATGCGAGGAAGGAAAGGGGCAGTAAATACTGAACGCTTTGGCAAAAAAGAGCCGTTGCATGAAATTAAAAAGCAGTGATAGTGTCAATTACCATTGTTCGGAAGTTCGCCCGCGGCACCCGGCTCCCATGCGGTGGTAACATCGACACAACGAGTGTAGAAATCAACAAGATGTAAAGTAGATTAGCGAGCACCCGAGAGCGCATCGTTGATTTCATCGATGGAAGACAATAGTAGAGTATGTACCATTAAAGGATGAAGCAGTTGCTGTAGGTAATGGTATTGTAGTTGTTTCGCATATTGTTTTGCGAAAAGATACAAAAGATGGCGTTAAGCGCATCTGCAACAATAATGAGAAATTATAGCGCGGTCGTGACGGCGTCTGTAGCTCATACTTGATGTACGCTAGCATTGTTGTTCTAACTGCTGCTGGCGTATACAAAAAGCGTACATCATTGTATAACTATCAGCTCTCACGGCGCTACAAGGGCCCGTAATAGTAGCACCAGCACCCTGGTCATCACCGTTTGATGTCATCGTCATGGTACTACTCAGCAGCAGTAGCATAGGCAAATATGATCTGTTAAAATATGAAAGAGTAAACACTCTACTGGATCGAAGTAAGTCCCTCTACAAGTCTTACGAGTGAAATTCCATAAACATATCCTCCATAACTCTAACTAAAATCAAGAGACTAAATAAACAAGCAAGTTGCCTTTTTATCATCGAAGTGCCCGTTATTTTTAGAGAGAATAATCTCAAAACAGTTTAGCCATAAGGGACGCGAAAAGTTACTAGCCACCACGGTGTTTATCTTTTTGTCGTGGCTACTCGCTGAGGTGATGGTTGTTGCTATTGCTGAAGACCCGTACAGTTCATATGTATCTTATGCAGAGAAGAATTGCACACCGTTTATGTACAGCTGCACATAACATTGTTGCAGCAAGCTGTAAGAGACTCGTATATATCTTGTTTAGGATTCATGGCGCTGTGCAAGCTAGGCCAGCCAAACGCCATCGCAATTGAATGACCGGCCAACACAGCATGCGTATAAGCAACATCAAAAACTACCCGATGTCGCATTGACCGACCGTAAACAAAAACTTAAACGGCCTGTGCATACGCTGCAAGGCTTATCATTTGTCCTTGTAAGAACCTGATTCCAAGCTGCGGTGCCGCTGGGGCCGTGGCTATAGTTTGTTTCGTTGTGGAGCTTAGATACTGCCTAGAAGGCACTATTAGCAGCAGCACCAGCAGTAATCGTCACCATTATACTCCGCGTGCTGTAGTAGTACTTTTCTGTCTATGCTCATTTATGGTCGCCGTGGTCTTGGTAGAGCCGCATCCTCCAACTGGTAGAAGAAACGAGCTCCATCATCGCTGATGTTGGTGTTTTGCTGTTGTCGTGATAGAACACCGCGTGCGTTTGGTACCCCGAAAGAGGCGCCCTTCACCGCTATCGTCACCGTAGCAACCGCCGACTGTCGAATCTCCTCCTTACTTTTTTCTCCTTAGAATAATGTCTCTACCTCCTTTCCTTCTTCGAATTTTTATTTTCCTTCTTCATCGGTGCCCTTCGAGGGGGAACGGCGGCGGCGGCGGCGGCGGTGGCGGGGGGTGGGAGGGGAGGGGAGGGGTGGGGGGTGGCGAAGCGGCGGCAGGTGCCACAGTCAATACCAGCAACGCCGCAGGCAGGGATCAGAGAGCAAGCAGAGAACAAGCACAAAAGGATGGCGAAGTAGTACATTTGCCGTCTTTACTTTCTCTCCCTTTGCCTGATCGTTTTCGATCGACGCTATTCAACAACAACACAAAAAAAAAGCGAATGAGCAGAATGAGAAAAGAAAGGGAAGCCGTTGTTTTTACTGTCCTGCCGTTCGCGCTGTTGTTCCCTACCGTACGGTTGTTCGGTTCATTATTTATTATAAGGCGCTAAGCTAACATCTATAGGTTGTGGGTCACATCTCTAAAATACGTTGTCGCTCATTAACTCATTGAGCGTAAACCTCGGCACTCCGCTTCGCTCGCAAAGGAACAAACGAACAGTACGGCGGGTATCCCAGAAAGAAGGCCACCGTTCCATGTTAACAACCTTTACCGTTTGCCTGAGTACAATCACGAACGTATCGCCCCCTGTCGGTCTGTCAGTTGGTCAGTCTGTTTTCCTGGATGTGTATGTGAGGGGGGAAGGGGGGGATCTGTATATAGCTGTGCTAATAAACAATCAGGCCGGGTCAGACGGCCAGGCTATAGTGTGGAACAGTGTTACAGTATTTTGTCGTTGCAGGGGAAGATTCAGTATCCCAGTAACATATTTGCAATATCTTAGATATTGTATGTAACTAGATTATTTCGAATTAAATGTGCAACCAGCTTGTGCCAATATACATTGTTCTTGTGTTGTGTTTACCTATGTGTGCGTGTGTACAGACATCAAGCGTAGGAAGTGTCAAGCAGGTACTGGGCGTAGATTAGCGGACGACTAAACGAAGTAGCAAGAGAACGAATACGGAAGAAATCATCTGTGGTTTGACGTAATCATGCTGTAAAAACGCCGAACGTGACAAACTACGGACTTTAGCGTTAGTAGCGCTCCGAACAGGTAAGAAAAAGAAGGAACAATAACTTAGTTTGGGCTTTGTATGTGGCAAACTAACGCCAGCCTTTAGGAAATAAATGTTATTAGATCGCCTACACGACTATGGTGTCATAGAGCATCGTAGATATTGAAATTAACGATTCCGTCGTCTGTCATTTTTCTTGTCCTGCAAATCAAAACTATCCCTTGGTCGAACTTGTCTTTTCTTCAACAGGTGATCATGCAGTTTTAAATCCTTTCACTGAAATACATTTTGGCTCGCTATCATGTATATACACACAGTAGCCATCGGTGCTATGCGAAGCCGCTCTAGCCGATGAGTGATTTCGAGGAATTCGTCCAAATCGACTTATTAACAAACGTTTGTCTACATACTCAGATATATATAGCGCGTTGTCGAGTTTGATCAGAGCATTCATAGGCAGAACTGAGCGTGAGTGGTGGGTACTCTGTCGAATATTTAATCTATTCTCAGTTAATCTGCTAATCTATTAATGCGAACTTCTAGCAAAATATGCATGTACGTACGCAAGACTTTTCTGTGGAACACTAGCAGGACACTGGTTTCCTTCAGTACGTAATCATGATGGTACAAAGGAATACATCAGTTTTTCTGCACTGAAGGACAGATAATCTTTTCGTCGATTCTTCTGACATATCGGCAATGTACACTAAACTAGGAATGTCCAAAGTTAGTTGAGCTCACATCAAACATGCAAAATTTTCCATTTAAAAAATTTTTTCAGATGTGTAGTTATGTGGATCCTCTTAAACGTCTTGACTCTTCCGATGATTCGACACACTTAGAACATTTTCGGCACAAATCCTCCAAAAGCTGGCTCAAACATAGTAAATTAGGAAAATTTAGAAAGACCTAACCCTAGCTAGCCTAATACATCGTACCAAATTGTACTTTATAATAACATGTTTGTAAGAGGAACTGATCACACATGATAGGGTGATGCATGACATTCATTGTTATTTTGCTTCCTATTTAGAAACAGTAGTCAATTTTGTTTAAATTTACGTGAGCAATTCCGATCGAAAATTGTTCTCTCTCGGTAAAGCTGCTTTCACCTATCGAAACGTCTCGTTCCAGATAATATTGCTGGGCACAGGGGCGTCTTGTATTATCGAGATATTATTGAGATGGGCTGATGATACTTGAACGAAGCTAAGGTATAATGCGGAGTGTTCCAAAGCAGTATGTCTGGTCATATGCCTGTTGTAGCGTAAGTTTTGATCTGCAAACAACTTATCGAATTGAATAACTTAACGGTTCAACTAAAATTAGCAGATATTAATCGATTTTTTTTTTAATTTGCTATTGCCGCTGCTCATGAACTCTTCTTCTATGTTATGTGACACTTCTGTGGTAATCTTCTCAGACAGCGCTATCTAAAATGGTTAGATCTTGCAAATTCGTAACAACATAGTCGTTTTGGTAGAAATTTAGGAACGGCAACCAAAATGCAACATAGAAAAATGTAAGGTTGAGCACTTACAGGATTCCCATCCTTAACGAACGGTCGTTTCGGCTGGGTAAGTTCAGCCGTGTTCTGAAATAGTTACTTCTCCGGACAGACGCGTACCGTGTCACCATATCAACGCCATCATACGATTGCAACGTAAAGGAGGAAAAAGTACTCGCGTTGAGCCTGATGTTTGGTGGGAACTCTGTTCAATAAGAAGCACTATTTGAAGTTTAGTAACTTGGAGGTTAGCAAATGTCAGCTGAGCAGTACAATGGAACGGCGATTTGCAGTGCAGAGCCCGACCAGAGTTTCAGAGTTGCTGACACTTCACCAGCCGGAAGCTGGTGTACCTTTCGTAGCCACTTATTTTTGGTAACTAACTCCGAATGCCTCCCGCAACCAAATTGGTAACGTCGTTCAACGAATTGTGATCATCACATTCGAAACTGCTCGTCACGACCACAGAGATATTGCTCACGTTTGCGCGCAATGTGCTCGCTCATTGCAGAAACACGAGCACGTTCCCCTATCAGTTAGCCACCTACACCGAACTCGATCATGGCCTGACACACTGCGCATGTGTCTCAGTGCTAGCGTCGATGCGTTTAATACGTAATTTTCATCTGCGTGCCTTGAATCGTGGTTATGCAGATACAAATAATAATATATATATATATCTTCACTGTTGTTATTTACCATGCACGCTACTTGTCCAACAACACACGAAGTTCCATAGTGAGTTTCCGGAGCTTTGACGATCCCTATGACACGTTGAAATTTACTTACACAGACGTCATATATCGCACCAAGTAATCATAACAGTGTTCGAGAGAAAAAAGAAAAAGACAATCGCTGATGTCAAAGATGAGTTGAGAAAGCGTATATACATACAAGTATTGTTGCAAGATATACATGAAAAATGCTTAGTTGATAGCTAGGTACACGAAATAAATCCAGGCTGCGTCAGCAAGCATTCGTTCCTTAAGTTTGTTGAGTGACTGAGTGACCTCTTTAAAGGATATTATTAGTAGCTGGTATAGAGGCCTGACCCACACACACACATCGTTGCCTACATGGGCCAACACCGTAGATATTTTCAATCGACACTTTCTCGCGAGTCATTGAATTTTAATAAGCCAATTACACACATGTACACGATGGACGAAGCGGTTTTTCCTTCGATTTGTTTAGCTGTTATTTTCTCCTGGCCATACGAAAGCGTCAAGTAAATTTTGACAACCCCACATACGCTTTGCGAAAGTAACAACTGTATACTATCTGTATATCAATAGTACTTTTGCACTCAGCGAACCCGACTCCACCCTAGAAACATTTCGAATTAAGAAAAGGAAAAAAAAAGTGAAATATTGTAATACGAAATGAAAATAACTAATTATAACGTATGATTGTATAAAATTAGGTTAACAAGTTAGTGAATATGAAATATAGCAAGCACGATTTTTAAAAGAATACGTGTAGCCAAATCATATCTTTTTGGCTTTGCGTCTACAACATGCAACCGGTTAACAACATCATTCTCATATTGGCAAGTAAGACTGCAACGTCGCTTATCCATTTACAGACGTATTACCTGTTACCTGTGCAGACCGGATCCTAGGTGTATATCTTACGTTGCATGTAAGTGGTCTTGTATGGGCAGTTATAGAGATGGCTGGTAGTGGGTGGGCTGGGCGTAACGACTCGGTTCTGAGCTTTGTAACGTCGTGCCTCGTGCGGCAGTAGACGTGTCGACTCGATATCGTGCATTAGCCGCAACCATTTTCGGCTAGGCTTAAGGCCTAGTTCTTCGCTGGAGACTGCGAGAAGAAAATCTTCTCTATGGGCAGGCTTTTTCGAAACATTTTCTACCATGCTAATAATGGCAAAACCAAACCTACCCTAACAGGGACATAGCACGGAGGCAAGTTAACTAGTACTCTGGTTAGCTCAGGCCTAGGCAGTAGTCTCCTCCGATATCTCCATGAACTTCTATTATTCAGTTGAAGATCACTGTGATAGTGGTAGGTTAACGTTGTTGACAGTCATTTACCCTATCTGTCAACCTGTCATCCTAAGCGGCATAATCGCCACTCCAGGACATCTACGAAATCCAGTCGCTTGGTGCGGCGGTGTTGTATTCGCTTGTCGGCAGCTGCACCGGCCATACAATTGACGTGGAAGACAGACGAGTTACATTGGGCAGATTGCACTATCACCAGTGCGATACCAGCTGAAGCAGAGCGACCGCCAGCTAACGAAGACCGGGGGTGGCTTGACCTTTCATCTAGGCAAGCCTCCCATTACTTCTAGTTGAGCTTTTACAAGGTGGGATTAACCGAAACGACATAACGGCATCAGCAGCAGCAACGCCATTCCTTCACTCCTGCTGTGTCAGTTATAACATCTACAGACTCGCAAAGGGAAGACAAGCTAGAGGCTCTGGCCACGGGCGGACTTGGAGTAGAATCGTCATTCCACCGAAAGGCATATCTTTCCGACCTAGGAAATGTGAATAGAAGAAACATATGCGGCAGGCAGAAACAGTAACAAACATTTAGGCAACAGCTATCTGGCGCCACAAAGGAAGTCTTGTCGCGCGATAGCATGGTACATGTTATCTCTGCAGTAATTATTAACACTGTTGGTATTGCTGTTATTCACTTCATTCGGCAACAACTCAGTATCCTTTCGTCCTTCCGAAGATCTCTAACGAGCGATCCCAGTACGCACTATGTATCATCTATTACGTATATATGCAATAGGCAAAATGCCATGGCGATGATATATCTCCATACACGCTAAGAAGGCTTTGCGCGCGAGGCAAAGCCTTTCTAGCATGCAAGGCGTTTAATCATTGCAGCCTCCTCAACCACATCACTGAATCCGTTGCGTTTTCTGTAAAGTGAGCAGATCCATATTGAATTATGCTGTATCCTACATGGTATCCTCGAAGGTCGTTTCTCATAGGTCAACAGGTGTAGACTTAGGAAAACCAGGCTCAGCTTCCACGTACGTTCTAAGTCGGAAGCATTTTAAGGTTCCAAAGACGATATATGCAATGTTACATTCGTGGACTTTGCTCAATGAACACGTAGTCGTTTCGACCGTCCTTAGGTGGTCAAGAGCTGCACGAAGGACAACTGTTACCTCACAGGCAGCAGCTACTTAAAAAATACCAGTGAGGTGGTAGATGCCTAATTAAATTAAGAGCCTTTATTGTCGCTTGAACGACCATTTCTATTTGTATAGTACTTTGGTAAAACTACGTACCTCTGTCGGAGACCGAACGAACTGGCTGGCAACTTTCAGTGTTGTCTTTGGTAACAATACGATTTTGCCAGACGGTCATTTTCTTGATGCTTTTATCACTCTCCTCTGCTGTCAGAGCTTTTAGAGGAAACGGTTTAGACACTTTTAGAGAAGATGCATTCAGAATGCGGGATGGGCAGCCTTATTAAAAAATTAAACATTAACATTTTCTTTTTTCCTCGAAATATTGGCGGTCTAGGGCGTTTTGTGAATGTATCGTTTTTTTGTTGGTGACGAGTGAACGTGATATGATACGAATATGCATCGTTTGAATAGAAATACATGTAATAAAATAAATACTTCTTCATTTTACGTTTTTTTTTTACATTTTTTTTTTTACTGATAGGTACGTTTGTTAGACATCTGGCAATGTACTCGTATGACACTGTTAAATGATGGGTAATATTGGAAAGAGCAATGCTATTTGATTAACTTACACAGTTGATTAACGAGCTTTTAAAATCTATGATACAAACGGCCGCTTTTTTAGGCTAAGTCAAATATGTCTCGTGATTCCAGTGAGGATGAATATTTGGGCGCCTTTGTTTTCCATGCTATAACACGAGTTTTATGGACAAAATAAGCATTTACATTGTAACTTGCCCGACAAGCTAGTTCCTTCTGACACAAGACATTAAAAAACTTCCAACTGAGACATATGCTGGTACAATATGGTATATTTAATGAAAACAAAAACGTGCGTTCACTGGCGCAAAGAATATCACCGTCGGCCACACAACCAAAAAAACGAACGAATCATGTGCCTGTGTGTACGTATCTAGTTTTTCCGAAGTTTGCGTTCTCAACTTGTGGGGCAGCAGGCGTTCAAGACCCGTTATGCGTCGAAGGATTGAATTGCTGTTAGTAACACGCTTTTTGCCACGACGCTGACTAGTTAGAGTCCTGGGTTGGGTAGACATACAGAAAGTCATAGATACACCACTAAATGCGCGCCATCTTCGAATTGCCAGCTGAGGACAAACAAAACTGGGTCTACTGAAATAACAGTGCCACCACACGTTGTGACATATCGATGCAATTGGTCGTAGCTTTCTCTTCCAAGATGTTACTTGAATTAGTTATTACTACTCATTATGGTAAAACATAAGCCCAACTGTATATATAGATGCGTTGTTGTTTATCTATTGCAATCGTTGCGTGTTAAGGTATGAAAACGAGTATTCTTCGCAGCGCGGCTATTGTCAAAAGTCGGTATGAGGAAAAAACCGCATATGTTTATGCGAGTCAAAAGTTTGTTTCCTTTATTTGTGTTCATAACATATTATATATATATATTACATTGTACTCATATCATTTCAGATACACTTACATCTGTCGGAAGAGGGGGCGACCCTCTGTCTATTCTTTCCGTCCGACTCAGCCTATAATCGTGATATTGACATAATGGAGCTCATACATTTCTCGTATAATTGCGTGGCCGATTACTTTGGAAAACGCATTTAGTCTTCGTTAACATCTATAATGTTGTCTGATTTTCTCATATGCTAACTTATAGGACCCAACAGACTTTGTTATTTGTATATAGAGCTATACAGAGATGCAGCTGACGCACTCGAGGATGCTCAGTTCATAGACGCGTTTTTTCATTCATCTCCCTAACTTTATCTTCGTTATATCGTCCATTATTGCTGCGGACGGTTATATCCTAACATAACACGTTAAATTAACAATTTTCACTGTATTTAATTTTATATTACAGAAGCTTGTTCACATGCCTTGCTAGAATTATTTATGAATTGAGTATCTTAGCTACGTAAGTGCATTACGTTGCTGTCAGCTAAGGCATTCCACTCGCACGTAACTTCTTCATTCGAGAGTTTAGTTCTTAAAAATCCCAACCGCAGTTTTTCTTTCGATTGTACTCCCACAATATTTCAGCAGCAGCGGGGCCGTATGGCATCTGTATCGACTATAGGGCCGGCGGCGGGGCCTTCTTTGGTAGGAGGCACCAGTATGGAGGACTGTTCACCACCACGGGCTTCGCTAGGAGGGGAGCGGAGAGGTGGGGGTTCACCGTTGGCGCTCGTCTCGCCCCCTTCACCTGCATCTGGGGTCTCTCAGGGATCGGTCTCAGCCGCCGCCGCAGCTGCAGCGGCCCACCCAAAAGTGACACACCAACAACAGCAACATCATGAGGCATTCGGTAAGAAGCTCAGTTCATAGACGCGTTTTTTCATTCATCTCCCTAATAAGTGATGACAGCCTTATTGTCACTAATGAAAGGTGTCTTTGGGAAGCCAATATAAACGCTCTGCTGCTCACAGAAACGTAGCTCGTTTTCTTGTGATTGGGATATGACTTGCGATCGATGTGACCTAACTAGAAGCGTCTGTAGTATTAGTGCGTACAGTCAAGCTACCTTTCTTGTGCTTATTCAAACTGTGGTCTAGCACAGGTTGCCGATTCAATCGTATAGAATCGGTTAGAAAATGATCGGTCCGCATATCAACTAATTGTCCACTGTATCTCTCCCAAGAATTATTTCTATTCGGAGTCAGTAGTACAAATAATCGTGGATCTTAGAAACTTATACCGAACAGTTTGGTATCAGTGAAAGTAAGACCGTTGTTCCGAATTATGCAGCGTAAAAAAGTACGCTTTATTTTAGACGACCGTATATCCACATAATAAGAATAGAATAATAGAATTAATAATAATAGAATTTGGACGCCTAGAACAGAGAACCTCTCTAGGGATAACATAACGATCAACATCGTCTGCTATTTTTGAAAATATACTCAGGGTTCCTGATAGCTTAAACGTTCTAGTAACGGTAAAATTGTTTCCAGTTTTAAGCTCTAGCACATAGGTAATAAGGACCGGTTACTCTTATGTGCACATGCGCACAGCAACTACTCTCACGATGTGCAGTGTCCTAAAGTAATAATTTATTAACAGTAAAGTTAATGAATGCTTCCAAATATCGGCGCGTATTGTAGACCGTCCTTTTTTCTGAGCACAATCCCAAAGAAGCTTTTGATAGCCGACAGCAGATGGTGACACCTGTTGTCTGCTATGACAACGGCGATTAGCTGGTAGGGTTAGGTTAGGTTTTTCCAAGATGTCGATCCTCGATATTTCCGTTACTCGGTTAACATGGTACAGACCGAAATACAGTATGAGTACGCTGCATGCATCAGCATACAACGAAGCTTGCTCCTTTGGGCTAAAATAGACGGAAAACATGTACAAGGGAAAGAATAGATGTGGATTGCGTTTCGGATTATAATTCGTGTTCGGATCACACAAGTACGCGTACCGTGAGTACTCTATGCTGGGCGTAGACAGCGCTTGTTTTTTGCAAAGTCGCAACGATACCGTAGCCACAAAATCGCTACTAGTTGTAGTGTTTGTATAAAAAGCAAAATATGACAATCGCTGGATTGCTGCTACAAGCGAGTGTGAATTGCAAGCGTGCTGATTGGTACGGGTTCGCTTTGCTACCTACGACCGCTATTGCGCTTCACAACTGATGTTATCATTGTTCGTATAGGGCCGGTCGGTCAAATCGAGCACTTAGGATCGGCTCTATCAATACCTATGAACGAAATCATCACGTTATAGTGCGAATGCAAAATGCCCCTTCGGAATAAAAAGGGAAAAGCTTACTTTTTTCAAAGCACACTATGAAGGTCGTAATCCGACATAGTATAGTCGAATCGACCTTATTCGGCGAACTGATATTTAGGCGAAACCGGACATCGATCAGGCCCCGCATATTACGAGGTCGACCTCAAGCGCCTGATTGCAGCTTGTAAAAAAACGATATTCAATTAGAGTGTTCAGACAAGCCCAATTCGACATCTGTAGAATTATTGCACTGATAACAGAATCGTTCCTTCTGTCACCCTGGTGATATTTAAACCAATACAATTGAAAGATGGTAAAAAAAAGTAGAGCATTTGGCTACAAAGGGAATTTCTGTAATTCTACTACAGACGTAAAGGGTACTACAAATTCGGCACCGTCTTAATTATTGAAACAAATGCATCCACGTTTTGGCCGGCTGTTATAGACAGATTCCAGGTGCCATATATAATATGTACGGGTTTCTAAATGCGGCTCAATTTCGTATAGAAGTGGTGATAAATTAGAAGAAAAACAGGGAAAATGACTGGTTATAACATGGTATTAACTCGTTGCGAATTTCCCCATAAATAACAAATAAGATATTACGCACCGGTTATAGTCAAATAGTTTCTTGTTACGCTTAGACTCTTTTGAAGTGATCTTTCAGATCGCATTCATATGTCTTTCGTACGCATAACAAGTTGATTTCCTCAACAGTAAATGTCAGAAAACGGTGATGTAGCTAGAAAAACAAGGCTGCTAAAGCATAGAAAAGAAAAATTAAGTACTTGACTATACCAGTCCCGCCCATGCATTACCACTATCCTTAACCCCCTGCATTCGTTGTAGGCCTGCAAAGATTCTAAGTACGTACATAGGCCATCCGGTCTTAATCATTAGGTTAGGTTATGGACAGAGGCTGTTACATCTAATAATGTGTCGTCGCTTGTTCGTTTTGCTCTTCGATAACTTACGTTAAGCTGCTATGAACGCATCACAAGCAGCACTTTTCGGCAGTTGTCAATTAGCAGCACAGGGTGGTCTTTTAGGCGGCCTCGGTGGTATCGGCGGTCTGGGAAGCCCTGCAACCTTCTTTCCTGCTGGTCTCGACCTCGCTGCTCACCTTCAGCTTCAGCGGCAGTATAATTCTTCACTATCATCGCTTCAGCAGCACTTGCAGCAGCAGCAGCAGAGTAGCGGTCCATCGTCGCAGCCGGCGTCACTGCCGCCTTCCGGGGGTGGAAGCCAACAGCCACAACAGATGGCAGCCGCCGCCGCGGCAGCGGCCGCAGCAGCTAGTCCCTTCAACCCGACACAATCCCCTTTACTCAGTCCATTCTTCGCTTCCAGGTGATTGATTCCGAACGATAACAGTAATAATAGCAGAATTCTGTCCTCGCATCGGCGTACTGGTCGCATGTTTGCCGATTGATTGGAGTGATGTAGGAAATCCGAATCTAAACGTAGACCCAGTCAGATCCTTCAGTAGTAAACTTCTGGTCGCTTCTGACACAGTGGTTATTTTACGGGCTCAATTGTCTGGCGTACGTCTGTTAGCGGTTCTAAGTGGAAAACTTGAAGCATGAAATTCATGTTTGCTATGATCTGTCATAGTACCAAGGTTTACACTGCGTCATCACGCACAACATTTACAGACAGACACACAAACAGCGCAGGCCTCATATTGTTGTTTATATTTAGGTCGTAGCGCCCGATGTCCTAAACAGGGTCGACTACTTACTTTTATGATTGGAAATCTAGTTTGAGCCAGCTTGAGACCAATGTTGTTGATTTGCACTAGACGGCAATATACACAGTTATATGTACGTCACCATTTAATGGCCGTATCTTATGTTCCCTACGGTATATACGAGGTATGAATTGATTATTGCAGATTTTTTGCCCAACCATCCTCTCCTTCGCCCCCATCAGCCTCTCCCCTAAAAATTAAAAAGGAAGATGGTGCTGGAGGAGGAGGAGCATTTCAACCCATCGTCTTACAACATGACGACACCCCATCACCGAAGGTACCTATGTCGGCTTTCGATCTGTTCAAAGGTTACATTAACTTGTTTTTTTCTTATTTATGCCTATTCTTAAAGGTTATTAGACGAATGCCGTTCACAGATAATTTTGATTGATTCTATCGCATAGAATTGTCGTAAAATATGGGAAGTGACTACGGAAAAAAAGAACAGCATTATGATTTTTCACTCGTACCTAGTAGTTCCTTGACCTTTTTTTCATACGATTGTTTTATTTTTTTATCTACATCGGCTGCAGTTTGCTCGCATAGATTATTTATCGGCGGCTAGCACAAGCTCAGGCTTACCTGCTACGCCATCGACCTTATCAAGCCCGGGCTCGGATTCATTTGCTTCGTACCGCGGGCATCATAAATTAAGTCAAGCTTCCTCCGGTCCAGACAGGTAAGTCTTTGGTCTGAAAATGCTATTATGTCATCTAATAAGCCCACTGGTCATTGGTCTCGGGTCTTGCATTTCGAATGAGAAGAGAAAAAGGACAGAAGTGAATTCCTAGCAATTATTACCCATACTCTAATATTACATAGATATGAGTGACTGTTTGAAGGATCAGCAAATAGCTAGGACATATATGTGTAAGCCTGAAGCCTAAATCTATAAGCAGAAATGACGCGAGATTATTTTGGATATTGCTCAGGCATCTAATTAGACCTTTATAACTCCAAGCGATTGAACCTGCGCTGGAGACGACTGAATTTTAGATCAGATGTAGCCATAACTTTTACAGGGTTGAACCGACACTAAGTTGAATGGAAGCCTCAAAATCTATCAAAGCCAAATAAGCTAAATGTACATAAGTCAGTACAACCTAAAGTTTGAAAGGACAGTCATTTTTTTCCTTTCGTAAAAACCCTTTTCTAAAGTAGATTTTTGCGCGAATAATAACGCTACACGTTTATCTAAATACCCTAGATAAACGTTGCTTATTAACACTGGCACAGTTGAAATGCTAAACAATATCTATGGCCTAATAAAATTCTTGGTTCGTTATGTGCAGATACTCTTGCAAGTCTCAGTTTAGGTACTGAGATTAAAGTTAAAATAAATTTTCAATAGCTTCCGCGTTTGTTCTTTTCTCGGATCGATTGGTTGATCTTTCATTGTAGGTATCGCTCAATATCGTTGTCAGCTCTGAAACATTGTGACTTAGCGCGGTAGTCGGCCATATAACTAATGCTGGTGATACATTGATAGTATATATATGACAATATCATCGTGCTTACATTATGCGCCTCCGTATTCAATCAGCATTTTAAAACGGGCTGCGACATAGAATTCTAACTTAACACTTCACACGTAAAGTTATAGCGATTTCATCAAGGAACTTCTGGGCATCGACAGGTGGCTGCGCGTCGCCTTGGGTGTCGCAGTGTACGCGCACTAACGTACGCTGGTTGGTCCGTGCATGATGACTATGATCAACTGAATGTGTTATGGAGCTATGTAACGGGTGACGATAGTGAGCTGAGCTTTTAGATGTATTCTCGCGTGCTCTCGTTTCCTTTTTCGCAATTATATTTCGTAGTGTCGTCGGAAAGCAAAGTCGGCAATATGTTCCCAGTTTAGCTGGAGTTATCGTCCCATGTAAGCAAGTCAACGGCTGAGTAATTTCATCAGAAGCCTGGCTTAAGTTCGGTATTAGTTGAACTCTCACTATCGTGTAAAGGGAACAAATACGACTAGAAATTTGACCGAAAGGTCACAATATGGAAAGGTGTGAGTTTTTTGATTGATGTATGTTTAGCACCCCTAACATATATAATTGTAAAAGAGAACTTCCTGTCATTTCAGCGTGTCGGGCAGTAACTTACTGTTGAAAGGCGAATCTCCAACGCAACTTCCTCCGCCTGGGCTTGCCCATTTCAAGCGAGGGTCGGTACGTATTTCAGATCGTTCCTTTAATCATGTATTGCAGACGTGGCCAATGATGCCGTCTAACAGGTGAACTAATGCTAAATGGTATTTTCTACGTCATGGATATCTGTGTACCTGATTAACAAAATCAAACACTTTTTTACCTAGCAAATCCTCTGACAGGGTACGAGTGGTCACAGCTGTTGTCCGTTGTTCCCGCTGCTATCTGTATGTAGGAATGCTACGGGTAAAGCGGATAATTTCGATTTACATGTACGGAAGTGGAGAATTTAATTCTACAATAACACATGTGAATTAGGATATGTATATACGAGAAACAATACACCGTAAAACAGTCACTACTTTTAGCGATAGGGTAATTAGTTCCCATTCGTTCTTCTCACTATCCTTCTTCAATATGAAACGGTTTCTATCAGTCGCAGAAAGCCAATGCTGGCCGTGGTTGGAACGAAACGCTTTTAGGCCGAGTCTAAGCGCCCTTAGATTTTCTGCTACTATTAACGTTAACGATAACGACAACGACGCTCTAACTCGTTTTGTTATTGTTGTTGTTGCGTAGGCAGCAGTGAATCTCGTTTAGTCGGCACGATTTCGTACCTGGCTGCTATCAAGTCAACTTCGTTCTAATTGAGTGCTAATAACGAATGTCGGCAAATATAGCTCCTCCTTTTTCTCCCTGCTAACTCTCATAACACTGTACAAGAAATGATAGGCGTCGCTAAGCGCAACATACCAAATAAGCCAAAACGTACGTATTTCAAGGAGGCGATAAGGCCATTATTACTGTAGCTGGTGTGGCACCATAGATTCAACCAAGTTCTAAGGAACTTGCTGCGTGACCCCTGACTCTATAGATTTCGTCCCGGCACCGTCAGAGGGACGCAACAGCAGCAGCAGCAGCTATACTCTAAACGTGAACCTTGTGTAAGGAAAACACGTGCAGCAAGAGAATGGTAGCGTCGGCATAGCTGCTATAGGTGTGTTAGAATATATCGGCGTGAGCATATATTACGTAGAGCCATCGGCGCCTTTCATATGGCTCGATGTGGTGTTCTTTTCTAAAAGGTCGCTACTCAGTGTCCTATAACTGGTTAGTTTAAGGATGTAGTTTTTTCTTAACATACAATAGCATCATCAACTTACTAATCTTAAAAATGAAAACAGCAGTTTTTAAGTCGTCTTTGCTTTGATTGTAAATATACCACTGAATTTAGTGAAATGAGTAGCAATTAAAAAGGGTTACCCTTACATTAAAGCAGGTTACCCTTAACTGGTGGTTAATGTAGAAGTTGAGGAAGTACATTTTGACATTAAAAGTTTTACGTATATATACTGAGATAAAGCAGTTTTTGGTGATACCCGTTAATTCAGTAATCACTACATTGGAATAGTTAAAAAGAATATTGTACAAAACAAAATTTAGTACGTTTTGATATCGTAGACGACTTTACTTTCGGTCGTGCTTTGTCGCTTCGTGTATTTAAAGTGTTTGAAACTGCTGAGCCCGTAAAGCTGTGGGATTGAGAGCCACAAAGGTCAACTCATGTTCATTCTAAGAGCCCTAGCATATTTACAGATTATTCGTCTCGCAGACGGCAAGTTGCGTACGGTGGAACAAGTAAGCACCGAAGACCTTGTGCAAAGCGCAGAAGCAACACCCGGAGTTCAACTTGATTCATCTCGAGTACTTCGTTTGGAGCCCGCGCATCAATCACATGCTATTCTGATCACATTTGCCGTTGCGTCTAGTAAACAGGAGGTATAATCTGTTTTGCCTTTGAAGGCCGATTCAAAGTGTGTTTCATGTAGAACTTCAATGTTCATGACTGCTTAAATACGACAGTTTATGCTGAGTTTCGTTTTGTTGCCGTCAGGTGTCGGTGGAATCGCCTGTAGATCGTCCATTTTTCGTGTTCAATCGCGGCTGGAGTTCGTGCGATCCACCAAAGACTCTTCACAAGCTCGGCCTACAGTGCCATAAACTGCAACCGGGTGACATCTGCGTCACTCTCAGTAAAAACGTATGTTCCCTTTTTTATTGTTTCGTTACTAGTAACATAAGTATAACAATGGAGTAAATGCTTTGCTGTTCGATTAGCTGTATCGCTCTATTTTTGGGATCTGCAAATATAAATGGTCTATCTGGAAAGCGTCTTTATTGACGTACATTATACGACATATCTGATTAGATAAGGGAGGTTCCGTTACACAAACGATGATTCAATAGCCACCATTTTGAAGACAGAAATTTTCTTGACTTGTAGGTGCTCTCTGTACGTGCCTCTTTTTCGGAGACTTGCAATAATTTTGTGTCCGACCTATTCTAGGTATCGGCAAGCGTTGTTAGTAGTGGGGCACACGCAAGCGGCGTTGGTGCTGGAAGTCTCTCGGAAGAGGATAGCCTAAACGACCTTAGAAGATATCCTTCAGCAGTTAAGGGCAATCGCCGATGGTCAGCTCCAGATCCTCCCACAGCTCTCGGGGGCAACAATTCGACTACCCCTGGAGCAGTTTCTGCTGTCCCTGATAATAGCAACTAATAAGTTGCTGCTATTAAATATAAATTAATGATATGTATTATTAACTGAGTCGGCAATCAGTGCTTATGGGTGAAAAAGTTTGTATGTTTCTACAGCGCAAAGAGCTCTGTATTCTTTGAAAATTTCTTTGAACGATTAGTGTAGTCACCGGATAAAAAGGAGCAACCATTAGGACTAAGATCTTAGTAAGTCGAGGAGGGCTTCCAGTCAAAAATAGCACGTCATGATTCAGAATAAACCAATAACTTAAAAGGAAAGGAACGATAAGTAAATTAGCTACTACATATATATATATATATATATATATATATATATATATATATATATATATATATATATTGTATGTTTAGCCAAGAACGAAATATTTAATTAAAGCTGAAAAAGAACACCATCGGCGACTGGGCAATGGCTATAACACTATGGTTTAGCGCCTACTTTGACTATAGATGTTAGTAAGGAGCGCATATCATGTACATATATGTCTATACTGCATGCGTCTCTTATTGGGTACGTATGTATACATTGTATGATAACGATTATAATGATTGGTGATTGTGCTGTCACGTTCAACTGTTTGCCTATATGAACATGGGATACATACAGTATTCACACAGAGGAGCTGCGTGCAAAAATGTATGTTTCTAGCAGATACGGTGTGCCATGTAAACATAGACATATGTAAGTATTCACAGATGACTGATCTAGAGTTTACATACGTTGACACAAGGAACAATGTAAAGTGAGTGCCCATAATCAAAAGAAAACAATACAGAGTATTGTTCTTTCAAACAGTTGCGCGAGGGTTTAGCAACCGAAAACAGCAGGTGCTATTAACATAACGAAAACATTTCGTTTGGGTCGCATAGACGTGTACTTGGGGTCGTAAAATTGGTACCTTGACCGTAAAGCTCTAATACAGAGGATCATTCGACTCGAATGATGAGCCGCTATGTCGGTCGTCCGCAGTTTAGCAAATGTTTGGACATAATTTGTTATATGATTTCGCGGCGTGCAAAATCGTTAAAGTTTTTCTAGCAATTTTTACTGCAAAAACGCCCCTAGCTAGGGCTGTAGCTGCTGCCCGTGCCACAAGGCTGGTTCGTTGAATGGTGCTCGGTATTAAATCAATCGCTTTTTGATACAACTCAATAAGTCTCGTGCAATGACAATAAATGCTACGAAGTCATTGCATAATAGAAGTTATTTAAGTTTATTGACTACAGTAAAATGACTAGATTTCGCACTGAGTGCCATAAAGTTTCCATGGATATATTCTTCTTTTCTGGATTGTTCATTTTTCATTTGACCGGCGGAACGGGCGCTCGTCGGATTTGATGGCTGGCTATCGTCGAAGTCGTCGTATTGTCCGCTGCTGCCGTTATTCTACATTGTTTCATCAATGACGTAGTACGTAAACGTTGAATGTACCTTTTCTTTACTCTTACAAATTCATTGACAAGGTAGATCGGGTAGGAGAATTTACTGCTCTTTGCGACAACATATGAGCTTGGCCATATAAAACATTCACGACGATAATACTACCATTACTGAACGAAGTGCAATCATCGCCGTCGTTTGTAAAGCGTCCATAGACTACAGTGATTCGGCCGTGGCAGAGTTTGCGGACGAATAGGACAGCCATTGTTGTGCCTGTTGCTAGTGTTATCGTACGTGTGAGACGCATGCTTACCGTTGCCGTTAAGATTATGGGGTGCAATATAGCGGACTTATATGGCTCGTCATGACCTGATGCATCAATGACATAAATCATGTCACAATTAATGCCTCACTAGAATTGACGCTCGTACTGGGCAGATACGCTTATACAATGAAGCTTGCCGGGTTGAAGAATGACCACTGGTGATAGCTCGTTGCCTAGGCAAAAAAAACGGATCAAGTCGCAAGGATGCGAACGTTCATGAGGGATCATCGTATATATACACACAATAATGGTAATGGCAACAAGATGACAACGTCTTTGTCTTTGTATTGTGAAGATCTCAGCTGCTGCAGCGAATAGAAGAATAACAAGTGACAAAGTAACTGAATGAACTACGGAGGGATTACGGAAACACTGAATAAGAACTAACTTATTTACACCAACGGTTGTTATCAGCAGTATATAAAAATAAAAATGTACCATGTATGTAAATGATGCTCTCTGAATATATTTGATATTTTGTCGTATCATCAAAGTCAGACATAACAGAATAATCACTATTTTTACCACAACCACCATCACATCTACAGACATATACGGATGCGTCCCGTCACGATAATCTCCTAGGATTGTCACTAAAAGCGAACTGCCTTTGCTACGTTTAAAATTATATGAAGTGGCTGACATGCCAAAAAAAATATGTGCCAACAGACTTGCTAACTTGTTCACAATATATCTGTAACTCACCTTACGATGGCGTTATCTCCTTATTATCATATGATGTATACGACATCTGATAAACGACGGTGCCTAGAATATCACTTACCTACATAGACATACGCTCACATACATCGTAGAGAAGAAGCAACGATCAAAAAGTAAACTGATAACTTATATTCAGAATCTATTGTTTATACTAACTGCGGTTATGGCGTTTGTTCATAGATGAACTTACGTACAGAGAAACACTATGGGAAAGATCAAAGGTCTACTAAATGGACAACGAGTCAAATGTAGCATCGGCACTGTGCGAATCCAAAAGTGCTTATATAGAATGCTGTTACTGTGAAATGTATATCATTGTCGCTGTATGGTGATGACATGATAAACGTGTCCCTTCGTCCGCTAACATTTTAATTATGGCCATTAGTGAGTCACTTGTGCAAACCACCCCAGCGGTGGCCATCTCGTTTCTGCCGATTGATGAAAGCCTTCGGTAAACTATGCTCACAAAGCAATTTTTTTTTTCTCGGACGTCTCCCTTAGTTTTCGTTCGTTACACTCACGGTGCCACTTCTAAACGTGTTGTATAGGGTGATGTTTTCGCAGTGGCGTTTAGGAGCTCCTATAAAATCGTCGCTGTTGTGACGGCTATAAAATAATTACTGTGGGGGTACTGATCTCGTGGATCAACTGACGTCTACATGATGGAGGAGAGATCACTGTAAAAACCTATCGAAGGTATTTTCTCTATCAGTTCGAGTTGGTATGATCGTTCGACGTAATAAGTACTGCGTACGCATTCACTGAAGTGAAAGTGACGAAACATTCGAAGGTCTTGTTCAGACACTGATGTTTATTGCAAAGAAGAAAGGAAAGAAAATAATCTAACAAATGTATCCCGAAAACCATCAAATTTTGGTTAACAGCTTGATTGGTTGGTGCTCCAAAATACATTGTTTTCGCTTACTTCTTTTCCTTGTCTTATAATAAACATCAAAGTAATATCTATTTTTGAGAGTAAAGAAGCAAAATTTATTGCACGGAAGGTAATTATATATATATATACATATATATATATATATATAGTTACCTATACATATATACATACACATATATATATGGAGAGAGAGAGAGAGAGAGAGAGGGAGGGAGGGAGGGCGAGAGCGAGAGACAGAGGGAACATTTTAACTATCATTACTATGCGACCATGTAGAATATCAATTAGTTATTGTTACCGTAGTAGTGGAACTGGGGATAGATGTGCTCTTTGAGTGAAACTTTAAATAAACTGATATTGAAACGTGTTTGTTACACGTACTTAAAAGGAACGTAATGAAAAGGAATAGACAGAAGGCTAACAACAATGGTTTCTTCGACACTCAAGCCCAACATCATTACCTGACCTGCGAAAGTAGTTGTCAGATCCTTTTATTGTTACTTTTGTACGATTGTTTGAGTAAACCTTAACCGTCATTTATCATGTTCAACTCTGTGACGGGGAAAAGCCATTATCGAACCTAATAGCATATTGTAAGCGATCCATCAGTGACGTGTAAATCATCGGAGACAGTCAGGTCTGGCTTGATAAGACTCTCTTGTACATTTGTCCGTTTCATGGTCAATCAGATATGATGGCATTGCCAATTCGATTACCCGACGTATGGTGCCGACAATCCGTTTGGTGCTTCCCTACATAGCAAAAGTATTAGAATTTGAATGTGTCACATAAAGAAATGAGAGGAAAGAAACGTCCGCAAAAAAAGAAAGTCTAGCTAATCCATTCAAGATAACATAACGGCCTCTTCACCGTTCGAAAGTAATGAACGCCGTTAGTGTTCAGGAACGCTGAAGCGAAATGCCATGTCACCATTAAGGAACATTACGTATCTATACATGTGTGCTGAGAGAAGACGTTATATGGAACATGCTGCAGCGAATTAGGACCATAGTGTTCATTTTAGTTAGCAAAAGAGAGAAAAATTGAAAGAGATATCAAATATAAGATATATCGAATTAATGGAAGGAGCAAAAAACTGTTGATGGTTCGTGAACTAGTTTTTGTGCTTTTAAATTATCAAGTATGCTTCGAAGCTTATAATTAAATGGAGAGCGTGTTGAAAAGAGTGCTAGAAAAAAAAGTTTTAACTTGTAAAGGAAAAGAGATCTGCATGGAAACAATAAAGCAAACACTATATTTGTTAAAATAAATATTGCAATTATTTATTTATTTGTTTATGATTAGATCAAGCAAGCATATTATGAGCGTATTGATTCTCATGGAAAAATTAACAATTGTATTTTTTGCAACTATTGAAAAACTTGGGATTCTCATTGAGGGACTAAGATTTTCTTCAAGAGCACATAGTTCTTGAACGTCACCTCTGTTGATTGATAAATATCATTTGCTTAATAATATATCATGGTGCGTTATCCATCGGTTTATGAGCGTTTAGCATAGGAATGCCCAATAAATGTCCCCACGGATAACGAACTTCTGAATATAATAGAACGATTAGTCTAAAGTTCAAAGAGATCAAATACTTCTTCCATGACATCAATAAGAAGATTGCTCCAAAATTGTTTAGAGACTTCCGTAACTGAACAATATTTTTGAAGTAACTTGTTAGTTCCGTATAGGATGATAGTAAAATACAAAATGATCTACGGCTTGACACAAACTTAAGCTCTTAGTTCCAAGGACCATTTTAAAAAACAACGTTTGCCATTGTTATATTGTTGATCTCTTATTAAAACTGGCTAGCTGTCTAAGTTTCTTCTTTTCTTTTTTTTTTTTTTGAATACATATAACTTGTATGCTAACAGCAATGTTTGATGAAATATAAAGTTAAGAAACTGGCTTAAGTAATACAGTCGCTAATGAAGGTTCCAAAGTACATTCGCTGCCTTAGGAAAGCGTGTTTCGGCGCGTAGTAGGTGAAATCTCTCGTAACAGGAGACAGGTATCACACTCGGATTGGCTTCCGGTTGCCTAGTGAGTCGCTTATGAATCGGAAGACGTTGATACAGGTCGAAGCTAAATGACGCAACGTATCGTTTAGAACATTTTTTAAGAGAAGTTTAAGGGAGAAAGAGGGAAGTTTAAGAGAAGAAAAGTAAATATTAATTAGTTCTTTAATTGTTCAGTGAACCGATGAACCGAGGTTTGATTGTTCGCCGTTGCAGTCGTGGCCGAGCGGTTAAGGCGATGGACTCGAAATCCATTGGGGTCTCCCCGCACAGGTTCGAATCCTGTCGGCTGCGTAACGTTTTGTTATTTTTCATGTTTAATCATTAAAAAAACTGTGTGAGGTTCATGAGTAGCAATACTAATAGTACAACTTAAATTCTAGACCCAGTGCTAGACACGTTGGCTGTGATGTTCGCCGCATAATAAACGACTGTATCTTATGAGAAATATAATTCAATAAAAATTCAATTGTTTGCGGCGCACTCAAGCTATAGTATTTATTTATTATTAATAACTATAATATTTGGCTATAAGATATTTATATAAAAGTAATTATCATAGCTAAAGTATTCATTAGGCTTCCTCAACGTCTACAAGATCTGTAATCAGTTGTTTAAGGTCAGAAGCATATTTAGTGCACAGTGTGTAGTAAGTTAACGAAATAATGAATTGTAAGCTTCTGCCATAACTGGTTAACCATAATAATACTCCAAAACTTTTAAGATAAAATGTATTGCGCTTGATTAAGTGATCAATTATGCTTATTAAACTAATTGTCAATTCTAACGTGAAATCACATTTGGATGGTTACTTTTATTTTTATCTAAAGCTCAATTTGAAAACATTCAAGCATTGGTTTATTTATCTAAATTTTCGTTACCATATACATATGTTCTGTGCAAATGCGGAATACATTTAGTAAAGCCTGTTCGGATCATTTGCTTAAAAAAGATTAGGCCATGTTGGCCTTATCTCTTCTCTTCGAAGAAGTCTTGAATTTTTGTCCTGGGATCCGAAGTAACTCTTTAATTTGCTTCGGTATATCACATAAACGAATAGTTCTACTTAGCGACAGGGCACATATTTCAGCTAGAGTTATAAAGATAAATGAAATTCAAAGCTTGAGTTCTCATACTTGGGAATAATAGAAGATATGTGTATATATATTAAACAGTCTAATGGGGTAGAGCGCACTGTTGACAAAGGTGATCATACAGGTGAGCAAAATGCAGAATAGGCCTTTTGTTGCTGTAAAGTAGGAATTTTAATAGACTAAATGAAAAAAAAATTAAAATAGCTATGTTATAGGCAATGTCTTAAATTGTTACCAGGTGCATGTGCAAGGTCCTGCTGTCCTTAAACAGAAACTAATTAAAACGCATGTTTGTGAGCAGTCACGTGCAGTCGTGGCCGAGCGGTTAAGGCGATGGACTCGAAATCCATTGGGGTCTCCCCGCACAGGTTCGAATCCTGTCGGCTGCGTTACCATTTTCATACTTTCTCACGTACGTTCGCATTGTTGAAACTGCAGTTTCACCTATTCGTACGAACTCTATATTGGCTAAGGTGGCTTCGCACCACTTTTCTCGAACTTGTGGCTAAACATAAGTATCCAGAGAACCCAGGGCGTTTTACATCGGAGTGAAGCCCTACAACGATGCTAAAGTTTATTAAAACAAGGCTTTATTTAATATGGTAACTGCGGTACATAGGTTTCATGTTTAACATGGACCACACATGCTGTAATTTGAAAGGCCTTTGAAGTTCAACTTCTTTCTTGAAGATACTCAGACGCAGTCGTTGGTTCGTAAGTTCAGAATGTTCACAAATCGCTTCTCTACCATCTATATACTTTCTATACTTATTTTCGTTTTGTCTATAGGTGCGACACTTTCGTTCTGAGAGCGAGACAGTTTATTGAAGTTAAAAGATCAATAGATACAACAAGTGGCAAACACCATATAGAAGCGTGTATGATTGATTGGATATAAATTATTGAGCAGAATTATTAAGCTATGGGTTATTTCTCATTTCATTAATTACGACAGTCAGGTGGTAGCTGGGACAAGAGAAGACGGTATGTGTACGTTCAGCAGTCGTTATATGGCATGACCATTTGGAAGCCAATGAAACCCATGGGTAGCTTAGGGCTTTGCTTGCATACCAGTCGGAGCAGCCCATGGAGCCGGATAGACTTGACCCATATTATCTCATTATACAGTACTGATGTGATCACCGCGAAACGTACAAGTAATGTTAAACTGATTCTAAATACCTAGGTACTCTATTGATACAATTTTCAGTGTTATCTTTAGTTTGGTTGAAAACCGGTGATATTTTATATATCTGAGCTCTCTTCGCTTAATCAGCCCTACTTTATGTTTCGTGTTTTACATCCCCCATTTAATTAGTATTTATACGGACCGCTGGCTCCTATTGCAAGAGGAAGTGTCCTCGAACTCGAACCTAGACTACCACGTGTTCCCTGTTTAGCACGCAACTGCGTTACCTGCTGCTCTTTTAGGGGAACGATCTTCGCGCTGCTTGTTTACTGTTATTTGCGATATAAGAGCACTCTCCATTTTTCATTACGCCGCTGTAGTTCCGTTGTGCGGCGAGTGGAATTTTGTTTCTGGGCTCCAAAATGGATGTTCCCGGTGAAAGAAGTTCAGGTTTCATACGTGCTATACCTCGTCCCTATCGACACCGCCACTTGAATGGCCAAATTTCTGGCGGAAAAGCCAGAGGTTGCTTAGTTGAAAACCAGCAAATCGTACACTAAACGTAATCGAACAAATGTATGTACCTATTTTCTGTCACAACGTCATCGCATGTAAGTGACTAGTCATATCAGATAGTTTGGATACAAAACCGCGCGTACACTTACCCTATTTCACGCACGCCAGCCGTCTAAAGCAACCCTTAATGCCGGTACTGATCTAAAGCTTGAAGTATTTTTTGTATATGTTGCCTTTCGCTGAGGTTAGAAAGCTATTGTACCGTCTACAGTTGAGACTCTACGGCCAAATAGATTGCTCGGCTGAAGTTAGTTGGCCGGTCGGCCATCCTAGATCTTTACCGACCTCGACAAATAATTGTTGATTGTTTTTTAACCTATAAAAACTGGGCTTCTTATTATTCCTACTATATCGACCGCCATCAAACAACACGCCGCTTCAACAACAGATCCGTGGACATGATGGGGGAAAATAGGACGACCTAGAAGGATCGGTAATAGCTCAATGACATTGATAGATGACTCGACAGACAAACCGAAGTTATCCTTATTCAGAGCAATGTCGAACCGTATATGGCAAGAGCCATTACTACTGCCGTTGCAAGAGCTCAAATGAAAAGTCTTTTACATCCGCCATATCCTCGAGTGAGTGCGCCATAGGATTACCACTTTTTCTGGATAGTAGCAAATGGTTTTTGTAACGGTGCGTCTTACAATAAAGAAGCTGTTGAAAGCTGGTTGAAGTTTTTTCAACAGCAGTTTCTGACTAGGTAGAATAAGTAAATGACTGAAAACATGGGAGAAAATTGTACAGAGCGATAACGAATAAACGACAGTTCAATCTGTCGTCTAAAGCAGTGTTTGGCGGCGCAGTACAGGACGTAAAGCTCAAAACATCTATTTATCTAAACAAATTAGTTGCTAAGATTCGAGTAGAACTCCGCGTTCTTTTCACGTGCAGCTTGTTATTATTAGGGGACGAAGACTTCTTTTTTCTCCACACGAAGTTAATCTGGGCAGTTAAACCCTCCTTTGGATCCAACTAAGATGAAAAACGAAAGATCTTCTATCGAACACTAACTTACCGGGGCTATTCAAGTCATATACCTAAAAATAGATAATAACAACTAACAGCTTTGCAAAATCACACAACAATATACATTTATGTACTTTTTATTATGTATTAAGTTAATTAAATTGTTAATTTTGAGGCCGACGATTGTTTAACGTTCCTGGAGGTAGTTGTAGCTTTGATAAGGTAAACTTAAGAAAGTAACTATTGTATTGTGAATGGCATTTATGACATAGCGTTTTTTTCTTGGGTTTTTTTCTGTGAAGTTTCATTTATCAAGGCAACTGTGCTGGAGATTTGTTTGATTCTTTATGATATTTATTAAATTTTTAATAGTCTCAGCACAGGTTTTCAGCGATGAATCAATATACCTACTCTAGTGGTTAAATTCCAAATGTCTGTTTAATAAGGGATAGTTATGGTAAACTGGAGGCTTAGGTTGTACAGTTTTCGATAATGCCTCCATTAAGCTAACGCTCTGTGTTGTCGCCGTTAGCATTGATATGCCGGGTATTTGTTGTCACTCTCGTGTTGATTATAGATTGACACTGAACTATGTTTAATTGTTTCTATTATTATGTTGGAAAACTGTTATAAACTTAACTGGGTCTTGCCCCTTCATCGCCTCACTCAACGAGCGGCGCATGCAAAAGTGGGCAGAAATTAAATTTGGTGGATCAAAACTGGCTGAATATGAGGCGATCAACATATTTAATAAAAAAAAAAAAAAAGGGGGGGGGGGTATATTCAACCTTCAACAATGCTTTTCCTAAAATAAGTTGCTACCGGCGTTAACTATCTAATCCTTTTGACTTCGGTGTCGCTGAATAGCAGTCCACACTCGAACTTCATAGCCAAGCCTGCAATTACAAATATAAGAAGCTTACAAAAACGAGCTTGTTGCTATCTGCCAAGCACTAATTGTAAAACTCACCTTACGATTAGTAAAAATTGTCTTTATGGCTACATGAAGTCCAATATGATGCAGAACCACTACGATATGCTTACTATGAATATAATCATGTTATTTTTACACTGATTTTTGGCATTTAGCTTATTACGATAGTATGGACGCACTTGAGGCCCAGTCGTTTGAGGTCATCCCTATCAACGAGTTGCAGGACGTCTTCTATTGTGAAGCGTTCCTTGACAAACTTAAGCACACTCTCTTCATCAAGTCCAATGTCCTCCAGCCACTGTACCATCAAAGGGTCACCGTCTTCCTTGATAATTTGAGCTCGACTCATTCCCGATGTACCGGGAATACTTTCCTGGGAAGCGTGAGAGACGTGAGGCGTCTGCTGCAAGGCCGTTGAATCACTAGCGACGTCTTGGACGAACTTCCTCTGATGATGTCGACTTTGAAGTAATGAGACCAACAGGTCCTGGTAGAGTTTCTCACTTTGTACCAGCGTATTTACGAGACTAACAGACGGTGGCAGAAACAACGACGGACGCGTGGATTTGATTATTCACGGTTAATAAGTATGCATACGTAAAAACTCTTAAAAACCAAACAATGGTCGACAACGGCTAGGAGGCCAACTATCGGCATGTTAAAGTGGTACACGTGCTCCAGAATGAAAATGGTCCAAACGATTTATAAGCATGGCTGATTATCACTAAAAAGCCTATTGCTGTGCTAGACTATTACTAAATTGTATTTAGTAATATAATAGTAACTTATTTAGCAATATAATAATATAATAAGAGATAATGTTTGTGTCACTGGCGTACTCGTTTGTGCCCTTCAAGAGAACATACTTGGCAGTTTTCTCTTGAGCAGCTCCGAGTTGTCCGAATGCTCTGAGAAAATCTCCGGTACCCGGAAGGTTCGAAGGGAGATGACTAGCAGGAGATTCCTCGCCAACCTTTTGTGCCGCGGACCGAATCGAATTCGAGGTCGAGACGCCACTTGTCGTGGACACCCGATCATCATCTCCATCATCATCTTCCTCCTCTATATTATGCCCACTAATGTTAGCGGCTAGTTCTGGAGACAGAATCGATATAGCTGCCTGGCAGCATTGCTTAACGAGGTTGTCCAGCGCGAACATCCAGTGCGGCTTAATGTTTTGCCGAATCTGAAGGATCTCCATGACCTGTATTGATCGGGAAAAATATGGAGGGAGACGAAAAATAAGTCGCTTGGGCAAGCGAGGCATCTATGTAGCATCTAAAATGTTTTGTGTGTACAGGGTGGGATATGTTGGCCGACGGTGGAACACGCTGTGAGGATTTGCTGATTCCACATTTTCTCTAGATACGCGACAGCCGAGAAAGCGTTCCATTGTGTTTTCTTAGACTATGTTTAAAGACTAGTTCCACACAAACCGTTAAATAAATGTCGTGTACGCCTTAACAATAATCCTGTTGTTGAATGAAGTTCTAAATATTTTTGCTTGGCTTGATGGTAAGAAACTACATGACAGCATGGCTGGAAAGTATTGTTCTTATTCTAAGACACATTCGTTATAGACTCTAATGTATTGTGAACTAGAGAAAAATTATTTTTTCCTGAATTTTTTTAATGAGAGTTCGTGAAAGTTACTCAGTCGTTCTTATGTACATAACAGTCAAGGAATAGGAGCCCCAAGAGAAAGCCAGTTAGGGAACACCTATAACCAGTTTGGGTTAACTGCGCGAATCCAGGACGAGTGCCAGTAGCCAAACGGTCCTTGTAATAATAACAACAATAATAGCACACCAAGATAGAAGTAATAATGCGTTATACTTCAATGTCTATTATAACCGTGCGGTAGGTTTCCACCGGTTTATATAGTGTAAATTAGAGAAAATATGGTATAACACATTAGATTATATAGAGATAACACACAACGAAAAGTGCAGCAACTGTAGCAGACTACAGCAAAATCAATACCTTTGTCAAGATACTCTTTACTCAATGTTTGCCCTCAACGTTACCAAATATTTTTACAAAGTCTGCCCCCTACTGACCGCTTGTGCTCATGCAGCCAACGAAACTGACATAATCATCAACAGTTTTTAAGCAAATGTCCACAGTTTTACATATATATATATATATATATATATATATATATGGTTGCGGCGGCGATTTCTTCACAACGGTTAAGTTAAAGTGTATTACAGTTACCTTATGATCACTACAGAAGTTACTAGTCCTGGTAGTATACAGTAACAGTACATTCCCGATCGACGCAGCCGGTTAGACAACTATAACGCTACGTTTGTGTTAATATAAAGCAACAATTCTCTTCGGCATTAAATTTGCTTTGGTACATCAGTAATTACCATTACTGATACTACCTCGTCAGCAAAAACCACAAATAGAAGCCTAGTGAGTTACCTCTTGGTGCAACGCGGTACATTGTTTCTAGATAAACTGTCTTTGTCCAAACGAAGTTATATAGATTACTAATCTATTACATACAAATGCTCGCTTATCGTGAATAGATCTCTTCAGCAAAATAGAAAAACTACATATTTCTCTATGCGCCTATACATGATGCTCGTATGCTGCTAACCGATTGCTGAAAAACAAAGAGTGCTGTCTGGAGCTGGCTGACGGCTTGCCCGTCGTAGTCGAGTAGCTCTTTGAGCATAGCGAGCACCCGGCTGAGATGGCCCTTGTCCTGCGCAGGTACATATGCTATGATTCCACTCAGGAGTTGCTTCAGATGGTCCTCACTAATGAGGAGTACCGAAGCTGAAGACAATGTTCCTCGAATCCTGTCCATCCATATCGACAGCAGCTGTAATAACATCACGAGCACAACGGCAACAAATGTCAGCATGAAAAATACAAGATTCGCCTACTATTTTTATTCGTACCTCCAACTACGTGAAAAGGATCCGATATCTAGAGTGTTGAGTATCGTCACATGCGAGAACACTGCTGGAACACTGTGAAATTAAATCTCGAACATTGATCATGATGCTTGTTATTGTTGACGTGGTCGTCTATCGATATATAACGACATGTTGGTATAGGTGCTACAATCACACCTGTACTGTTATTACGTCGCATCGGGAACTGTTTTGAACGAAATTTCGAGCGTTTTCGCAAAGAGTGGCTAGACACTATTTTTCGTTCCGTTAACGTCACGTCTCATTTGCTTACTTATTGATAAGAGGCAACGGTAATTGTTAAAGGGAACTTTCTGCAGTGAACAATTTTAGGCCACACAGGTGTACGGAAGTTTTACTAATCGTATTGGTAGTCATTGTTAATAGAATGCTATGTTAGCGAAACGTTCGCCTTAAGGCGTATCCGCACCTGTTCATAGCTAGCTAGCTAGCATTTTCTGATCTACATATCGTCGACGCCTTGGAAAGGCTAAGGATAGCTCAAATAGACTTCTATTTAATCCAATTAACGGATATCTCTTTTGAAAATTCAGCATGTCGAGCACGATCACTTCTGCAATAAACACTAGCACACATATTACCATATGACGAAAGCGCCATTCGGGCTTACTATCCGTTCGCCGAAATTTTCGCAGAAAGTCAGTTATTGATAGCACTTCTATGCGTACTAAGCTAACAATATGTCGGAGCCAATATGGACGGTGGGCATTGCAGCAGGCAATAACAAGTAGCCGTAACAATGCACAACTATAACAATAATCACATTTAGATTTGAAAAAAAAAACCAAGATATTGGTTATCTGTACGATAGATCAAAGGCACACCATCGAAACGTACCACCTTATGGCTAGAATAACATTTTTCCTCTTTTTCTATAAAAATTCCCTTAGCTGTAGCGTCGATGCTCTTTTTGTTCGTCACGCCTAACCAGCATATTAGTAGAATATAGAAATTTATTTCGCCTTTGACGCCCACATATGGCTTCTGTCCGCCGTCCGAGCCGCGCACTCAAATAAGACACATGTTAACTTCGACTGGCACTCATGTTATCGGCAAATTACGTTACAGATTTAATTCAAATAGCAGATCTACTTCCGACATGTAGATTACCACTGGAGCGCCTGCGAAGCAGCTAGATTTAACACGAACAACGGTACGGGCGGATCGTTCAGGTTTGTGAGCCTCTCTTGATCGACCACCCTGCATAGGTCATTACCATCGGCTACCTATACTGTTTAGAATCGAATATACTGTACCTTTAATTTAATCGAACGACTATTGTTTAGGTTAGGATTCACAAAAACGAACATATCAAAACCAGCTTTTTGGTCAAAGTAGAATAGTGCTTAGGTACGAGATACATTTCGATGGTTGCAAGATTAATGTACTTCTGACAAAGACCGAATATCTGTTGCCATATCGACCATATAGGGCGTAGTCTATGCGCTATATGGTCGATATATGGCAGTTGTACCGTCTTTGAACGGTTCGATAGAGTTTCACAACTCCGTATATCTTAGTCTATTATCTAAAGGCCTCAACTCGAAAGCCGGGAAGCGATGCGACATTATGATTTTGTCGACGAATACAATCTCTGTATCCATTGTCTTACAACGCGTAAATATGACGTCAACGTTAGACACTGACATAGAATTGTAATGCTACTGTAGAATAGTATGAAACATTGATGGTAGCTTATACGTAAAATGGCGTGTTCTGTCAACTAGAACACATATTACGAAGTAATCATCTAGCAGATATCTGCTTTCCAGCGATAAATTGATTCTGACAAGGGTAAACTAATCTATAGATTGACTTTACCTATTCTAGAAACGGGGGAAGACCGAGTTTCCTAGAAGTCGACGATGCTTTTGTTTTAAAATTGTCTATTTCTCACTTATATAACAACTCTATTATTGAAAAACATATCCCTTTTGATTTCGAACAATAACTCCAAGCACTATTATGTTCCTATTAAATAGGTTAGATTTATCCGACCACAAATTAGCCGTCTCTGCCAAATTCAGAGCTCTCTCAGATACGTCATAACTGAAATGTTTGCCGTCAGTGTTTTGCCACCTACGGTGGCAGGTGCAGTTGATGGCGTGCACCACCACCTCTCGGATAGCTTAGTAAACCGTACCTATCTCGAGTATACGCAAAAGTTTTCACCTAGCTTCGCGCCATGTTCAGCTGCTCGGTTCAGGCGAATCGAGGTTCTGTCGATAACCGAAAAGCCAATTCTGTCTTAGTACAGTAAGGTTAAGTATGCAGTTCCGGAGTGCAGCTGAACGTAACCCTAAGAGATCCTTCTGTAAAGATGGCCAATGGGATATAGTTTCCGATATGCCTTAGTGATCATTATCCAATCAAAATAAAAACATAGGTATAGGTTGATAGAAATGGTGCAGTTAAGACGCTTAAAATATCCGTCCATAGTCCCTCAGTAAATTTCTATTCCATTGGAAACGTGAAACACCGGCGGAGGATATATTTCCGCTACGAAAGATATCTCTTGATAGTATTTAAACTATTCGATCCATTTCCCCCCGTTACACGGATAGCTTTTATGAGGAATAACGATCCAAAGGGAATTAACTTCAAGCGTAAAGTATAGCTTGAGCCGCTTAACGGAGCATCGAGGTATTACATCAACTATTTCACGGTAGGTAATGATTCAGAAAGAGGTCGAAATAATTCATACTCTTAGCATATATTTCGAAACTAACGCTGATCTACTTTCCTCGCAATACTCGTTCATACCAAATTGCCGAATTCTTATCTATCCAAGTAGTCTTATACGTTTCTTAGTCTATTACTAAGATCCAAGCCATTATAATTACTGTTCTTATAAACTAGATAGGATAAATCGTATGGGCGAAGCAAAAAGCTCAATTCCCTGATTCTTGGATATATTTAAAGTGAACTACGCTACATTAGAGTTTCAGAAACTATATTTACAGTAGTAATTATTGCGAGTGACGTTTACAGATACTGACATATAACATGTTATATGAATTTTTTTTTCAAACGACATCTCGCGGCTTGGCTCAAAACGAATCTAGATTCGTCATCTAGTGCAATCATAGCAATAGGGGGAGCTCCAGTCACCGTGATTTTCGACAGCTGCTGCCACTTCTGGCGCTTCTGGTACACACGATGTCCTAATGAAGGGCTGCTTTGTTTGCTGCCTCTCTACGGTTCTCTATGATGGGTGAAAGCCAGAGCGCGAGAGACTGGCTTCTTCTATACGCAAAGCGATGCCCATTTCATTGCCAACGGCTGACCGTCCGCTCGTCGGTTCGCCTGGCAGCAGCCCGGTAGCGCCGACAAGCGAACGGGCGAGCGAAGACGAGATGCTTCGAAAGAGCAACCGGCATTACGGTGTTTACTCTACGTCATATGACATCATCAGCGCTGCCATCACTATCGCGAGCCAACACAGTACAGCGAAGCCGGACTACGGCCATGTACGAACAATAGTAGCGTGTTTAATATGGCCGTATTTCACGTAGTAGGCAGACCTTTGTCAAAACTTTTGTTTGCGATGACTTCGACGACGACGGCAGCCGGCTACGACGTCACCTGTGGAATCGACGACCATATGGGACGGGACCCTGCGCAATGGAAGAACGCCCACAATCGAGTAAACATGAAACAAAGGAACTAAATACTGTCTTGCTTGCCTGCCTGTTCGGCTGCTTGTTTTCTTACATTACCACCACCGCGACAGACATCGCGGCAGCTAGTACTGATGGCAATGACGATGTTACTACTTCTATTCATGCTGCTGGTAATATTTCCTCCGGGTAGAAGTAGCCTGGTCCTTTGGTTGTCCGTTCCTGTCTTGCATATATTCACGAGTGCTAAGTTCTTAACCAGCGGGATCAATTCAGTTCGATGGCGACAGACCACCATCTATACTGTCCTTATAAGCATATGCACACATATATACATGTACACTGTACCGCGAGGCGCGACTACGTTTTTCAGTTTGTTTTTGATTTTTAAGAAACCATGACATAACGAAATTTCTCTAAGGCCCCTATGGCTGATACATACTGACAATAGGAGAAAGCATACAAATCTGATCTATGCACCAAAAGTCTCGTCGTTTATGAAGGATTGCATTTTCCTTTGGTAATTACACCTTAGAAAGCGTGATGTAAGCTTAGGATATAATGACTGTAATACGTACACGTGCATTATCGGTAAGCATTCTGGTAGATGCTTCATTCGGCTTAAAGTTTCGGCTATATAAAAATACCACAAGACGAGAGTCTCCCGTCTAAAGTCCGCACTCCAACACTGGTCCTGCTGCTGATCCAAAGCTAAGGTAAATTCGCCGGATCGCAAAATCAGACGCCGGAAGACGCAGTCTTTAAACAGCCACACAACGAGCTTGTGTAGCTATTTAAAGACTTCCTAAGGAAAACCATTCTTTGGCAAATCAAAATTATAAAAATGTTCGGCAAAAATGTTGTTTTTCTTCCTCCTTTTTTTTTTTTGTTTAACCTTCAACGTAACCAGCTGTATAAACGCGATACCGATACAATCCAGATAGATCGATACTCTTACTTTACCAGGTAACTTTTTGCCAATTTCCTGTATTTCATGACCTATAGAATGTACAATAATCTAGAGATTAAATTTAATGAAACTATCGAAATGTTTTCAAAGATGTTCTACACTCTATTCTAGACGATTTCACCTCAAGACCCTAGCAAACTTATAAGAGGTTTAATGAGTGATAATCCAAAGTAAAATAGAATTATCATATCCACATTATTTTTGAGAATTTTGTCCTAAAATGTTTATCAATGTATACAGATACGAAGCAATAAACATTTGACGCCTACAGGGTTTGCATAAAGATGCTTGCAGGATCTAAACTGGCACCAACCTCTTGCAGTACTGATAAAAGCCCTGTACGAGTGTGCAACGAGGGTTCACGATTCATCTTAAAAATCGTTTTTACCAGTATAGGGTAAATATTTTGAAGGCTACCGGCTCATCGTGCCTAATTGCTTTCAGGCAGCAAGGACCCGAACGGACGTTGCTGGGTGCGCGGAAGCCGAGCGGGGTAGAGAGTCCCGAACTATTCTCCTAAAGCTCATGCAGACCCAGCCAAAACACCAACATGTGTTTCCTTGTTTTTGTTTTACTGTTAACGTAATCTTCGGTTTTTGCGTTACTGGCACGAAATCAATGTGTTCCTAAGGCGAAAGATCCAGCAATAATTTATCTTGAGGCTTTACATACTAGTCGCTCTATTATTAGGGTTATTATTATTACTACTTTTTCTATTATTTAGTATATTACATTTTCATGTGTGCGTCATCGTTAGATGCGCATTTAGTTAGACAAAACGTGCTCAAATGGAGGCTATAAACAACTTCTGCTGAAAATTTGTAACTGCGTTAAAAAAAAAAAAGAAGGCAAACGTCTTCAAAGCAAAATCTGAAAAAGACGGTTTATATTTGGATAAACCCGATGTCTTCATATCGAACCAAAACACCAAAATATGTAGCATATTCATATTTCATGAGTCTCATTAATGAGAGTGCATTTGATATGTATTTGAACGCAAGCGTATTAAAGTTCAACTTCACACTGGCGTATTTATTAGAAATTTATCATAGGTATCCGGAACTTGTTCTTGTGTTATCTACATTAGTATGAGTCAAAACGACATGACTGATTACTACTTTAGCTATGCAGATGGCAAAGTTTAAGTTTCTGTAGAACTTTACAAATCAGTTACAATTTTGTCCAAGTATTAGTATTGTGTTTATATGAAGGAATATTATATCGACATGACGCAACGTATGCAGTGTGGTGCTGACTGGCCTGTTTCCCTATTACGGCATATCAAGCTCCCTGGATAATGCTGCTTTGCCAACGTCATAGAGCTAACTGTAGTGACAGCTAAATTCCGTTCCAATATCTGATATTCTTCTCCTAGGAATGAGCATTCTGCCCGTCAGTACGAACGAAACGAAAGGGCCGAGTTTTGTACGGCATATTAACTTGTTTTACACGGAATATCTGTTGGCCTTTTCATCCCTATATTAGCTATTCATTGACTTCATACGTAAATGAGGATGCTGTGTGCAGACAGGCCGTAAACTATAACTAACTATAAGTGGACTAGTCATCTATCTACGACACCGCAGGTATTAGCATTATTCATTTTAACTGTGTACACTCACCTGTTCCTTATCTTCTTGCATCACCTTAACGATCGTTTGCCTTCGTTGCGAGTCCTTTTTAAGCATGTAGAATCCGGCGGTCTCTTCGACGCCATTGAGCGGTCCGCCATCGACTGGCGGGCTGAGAAGACCCGAGCTGATTACGAGCGGGGACGATAACAACATCGTGCGTGAAGGTCGTTTGCGGTTAGTGGGCTGAAGCTTGGCCGCCAGAGGGGTGTCATCATAAGCGACACCACCTATGATAGTGGAATTATCCCCATAACCATTGCCTTGGCCGCCAATGTCGTGAGTACAATGAGGTCGTACTTGAGCAATCTCTCTTTCCGGACAGGCCTCATTGCCATTATCATTCTTATGGTGATTATTAGCATTATGCCGGCCACCGCCGGTCAACTCATCAGCGGGCCAAATGGTCTGCTCAAGCGCTAGTTCAGCATCGTCATCAGTGTCGCATTTACTAAGCCAGTCCCAACAGCGCATTCGAAGTAGCGACCATTGAAGTTCTTGCTGACCCGGTAGTAGTGTGTCAGGAACGTCCCTGCAACGTCCGGGGGGGCAACCGTCCTCCAAGGTGTCCATTGGGGACGCCGGCCCACTACTACCGTACGAGTTAAGCAGAGCAGTGCTTCCCAAGCGTTCCATCATGCACAAATCACCTCAATCCACTTTAACTCACAACATCCACGTAGACTCCACGAAGTCACTATATATATATGTATATATATATATATATATATATATATATATGTGTATATATATGTATAGACGCACACACACATACGCAGATAGCACCGCGGCACTAGACTATGCGTGGATCACTGGTACTAATTCAAGCATGTAGTAGCATAGTAACTATTCCTCACACGAGCGAGTCGCATATTCGCACGTAATAGCTCGTCGTGCTGATTAATCAATAAAAGAAACTCAAATGATAACGTAAGCCGGCCGGCCAGCTGGCTGGCCGGGCGGTCAGCGGCCGATGATTTCGTTAAAGACGCCAGCCGCGTACATTTACTGTCATATAAAGAAGAGCATGTTATTCATAAATGTACATGACTCCTAAATATTACGCTGTAATATTATTTTTCGCTAGAGTAACAGTAGCGTTCGTGGTTATGGCGGTGCTGGTAACAGCAGCGGAGGTGGCACTTATAGTACGATTTTACGGGCACGCACGATCACAGCTGACAACCGATGATTGACGCTGACGGTGACAGCCGATCGAGTTTCATCCGCACCTCGTGGTACCACAACTGCTCGAAAACAGTACAACTACGAACGAACGAACGACTACTTCCTTTATCGTAATGAAAACGTATTTGATCGATGCCTTCCGTAGCTAACGTGATAGCTTAATTTCTAATTGTAGCGCTGCTATCGTAATCGCGTCTCCGCGGTATTACGAATCACAGGTATACTTATGATACCGGCCGGAGCTAAACACTCTCTCACTGCGCATCGGCGCTTTTCTGATATAACACCGACTGTCGCCGCTATTGGAGATCGTACGCAACCGTATAATACGCTGTTTCGTGCTAGACGTGTAATGTTGTTCGATGGATAGTACAGACATTAGGCTCGCTGTGACGTCCGCCTGGCCATAGATCCACCCAACGAGCAAGGGGTCGCTGCTGCCTTCAATGATTCCGCCGCCACCGCCGCCGCCGCCGCCGCCGCTGCCGCCGCCGCCCGCTGAAATGCTGTAAATAGGCCGAAGAGACCTGTTCACTGAGCGATAAACTGCTGAAATCGAAATGATCTGAAGCAGGAGTCAGATACTCAAAATAGAGCTGTAAGAGGGAGAGTGGTGCTACTAGAGGTTGATCGGTTCTTTTTCGTTCCTTCAACCGCTCACTACACTGCCACTGATTGATCGAGTAACCAGCTGTTGGTCCGCTGGGTTCGTTCTCTGGCGACTGCACGACTGGCAATACTCATGCGGCTCTTAATGCCGCTGTACTATTTCGTACTAGTCGTGACGGTGGCGACAATCAAAAAGGCGTTCGTCGCCACGCTCGGGACAATATCGACCGCACGAACGACAAACGAAATATCAACCACTCCAGCAGCAGCGCAGCGGCAGCAGTAAATCGGTACGGTGGTCAGGAATGAAGTCGAGCAACCATAATGTTATCGTTGTTGTTGATGGCGATGATGACGCTAAACGCGCGCGCGCGCGCGCGCGCCTACATAACACGCACCTCCCACCGCTGACACAGCCGTTAAGCACAACGGCGCTGTAACGCTAGGAACAACGCAGACAGCTTTTTGCTGTCCGCGCACAACACGTCGCAAGCACGCTAAGAGGAGAGGGGCCGTGCAGATGATTGTGTTGGTGAAAGCAGCAGCTGGCACGGAACGACAACGCCAATTGACCACCGCGGAACGACTAAGACAGATTTGCTTGCCTCCTGTTGCTGTGACTGCTGTTAGATTCGACAATGACCGACGCTAGTGGTACTGAGGCCTCTGGCGCAGCGGCGGCGGCGAGGGAGAGTGTGCGCAGGCGAAAAGTATATAGCGCTACTCCACTAGCAAAAGGAACGGCCTGCTGCTGCTGTTGCTGCTGCTGCTGCTGCTATCGCAGACAGCCGGGACCGGCGTCGACCCAGCAGAACTGCTACCAGCGGCGCTACCGACGCTACTGTTACAACAGCCGTCAACAGCAAGCAACAACAACAACAGCACCAGCACAGATGGCTGCAGCAGGATCAGAACGAACGAATTCAACAGGTAGCAAAATAACGCTAACAGCATAGATAACAGTGGCAGCAGCACAAATACCTCTGCTGTCAATACTCGTCAATGCATAAAATTTGCGTTTGGACATGATGCCGTGACGCGAGACGCTTTTATTCTACTGAAAGGCATTCAAGTATATTAAAAAGAATTACGTGTGCCACGGGGTGGTCGGGTGACAGCCTGACTCAATGGCGGATCCACAGCCCCTCCGACCCGCTATGATGCCATTGAGTAGCCAACAGAATTCTGCATTCTGCCACCGCAGTTACGTACTAACTATAGCAGTAGTACGGTTTCAGATATTTAGGCTAGCCGAGACTTCGTCATGGTCGATGCGTCGCTTGCAGCTAGGTCGACTATAAATTGTTTCTGGGTCTGCAAAGCTTACAGGTGCATGATTGAGTACGGTTTAATGATACTTCGAGGTAGAAACCGTCTTCGTGAATAGTTGTACAAGCAGCAGCTGGGGACACGGTAGCTGCCCGAAGCAATGTTTTACGGCACGTCAAACGTACGAGTCGAAACATTCAGTGGACACAGCAAAATCGGCACACAACAACGTGCAGTAATAAAAGAGTATCGTGCTCGAAATTTGCCTGGTCTCTCCTTCCATTCAGTCTGGTACACTAAAGCTTAAAATAGTTGCATGAAAAAACACGTAGAAACGCCAGCTTAACATAGACATCTCGGGGTGTCGCGCAAAAGTGTTATATGGTTATTTTTGGATGCATACTTGATTATTGACATTCTATAGAGGTGTATGGATAGGTTGATCACAAATATTCAGCTATTTTTCTAAAGTTCGTCTACCGATGCGCTCTTCACTACGGGGAAACAAACGGATAGGATCTGCACACACGCTTTTGCTTACTTTGTACCAGTAGAAGTCAAACCCCAGTTGACTGCTGAGCAGAACGATGGTGTCAGAAGGGTTTGTGAGTCCGGCCCGCGGGTAGAACAGCTGACGTCGGAAAAGTCAACATTGATGAGTAGTATCGCACGAATTTAAGCTATTTACAAATCGTTTCCTTTTCCCTCCTCTACTTCCTAATGAATCCAAAAATCATTATCTTCGAACTAAATACACGACAAGGATCAGCTCTGCTCTCTGAAAAATCAATACATAATACGCCAGCTAACTGGCTGGCAAATCTAAACAGCCGAAGAACTGATATAAGGCTAGCGACAGGGTCAAGGCCGCTTTTGGCCGGTGCGCTTCTTTTCGTTGGTGGGCAGAACGAACCAGGTTAGACGATTTTTGGTGATCTTCTTTTATCGTTCAGCGATACTACAAAGGACATATGATGTGTGAGCCACGTTACCCCACGGGGTGCTTCCTGTTGTTTAGGAAGCACTATATGCGATTGGCCCCTATGAAGTGGACAACCAGAATATGCATTGGCAAGAAATTAGGAGGATCCGATTCCTGATGCATGTGTGTTCCGGACCTATTGCGAGTCCGTCTGTTCGTCAATCACTCAACGCCGATTGACGTGTTTATCAGTGTTACGTCGTTGGCTGCTGCTGCTGCTGCCGCCGCCGCCACCGCCGCCGCTGTCGTCGTCCGCGCGCTGCCTCTAATTCTCTACTCAAGCGTCTGAAATTTCTTTTCGCAATCCATTTTGGATACTTCTCTTCTGGATCTATGCAGCAAAGCAGTATCGTCTCTCGTCTTCTCGCGCTCGTCCTGTGTCCGTGCAACGCCCCTTGCCCGAGACTGCTGCCAGCGAGTTTGTCTGATTTCTCTACGCGATCGTTCCGTAGTGTGCGAATTGTTACTCGGTGATTCGGAGCTCGGCGGTCAGCCGCAACAGTCACGCGTTCACTCACTCAGTCAGCCACACGGGCACGAAGCCAAATAGGCGAGCAGGTAGTAAGTAACGTGTCAACAGGACAGCGGCATAATCGGCGTTTCTGCAGTGGCCGTACCAGTGAGGGGAGGCCGCGAGTGAACCGTGTAGTCAACCGACCCGAACCAACGATAGAGCGACGTTTCCACTCTCCAGCTGCCGTCGTTGTTACTGATACGCAGCACGAAGCGACTGGCATTACTTGACGTCATACGATGTCATAGGAACTATCGTTGATTGTTGCCCGTAGATGCACAGCTACCAGCCGAATGCTGGTGCTGCCATCGCCCGTTTGAGTGCTGCCGCTGCTGCTGGCAAAAAAACTGCACCGCTCACAACTGCAACGAAGAAATTACTCTGTCTGCGTTTGACGGTTGAATGGCTGTTACTGTACAGAAACCGGCATCAGCAGCAGCAGCAGCAACAACAACAGCAGCCGTAGCGAAACGTTCAGCGAAGGGATTGCGACGTTGAAAAGCCGCCAGCATTGGATACGATGCAGCCACCATAAGAAGCGGTGGTAGTTATATCGACGGCGGTAACATCGAGGGAGCCACTGCTGGCAGACGGCTAAAATGCACAGGTTCCCGAACGGCAAATGCCAGTGGTCATGGCGACAGTTACTAGTGGTAACAGCGACGATGGTGACGCCTGCGATAGAGCGGGCCAGGAACGTCGATCTGTTCAGTTAATTATCCACGTATCCAAATCGAGATCTGGCCGTCCAAACGACCATAGTAGACTCAACAGCGTCATCGTTCGATGGGAAACAAGCGAATACAAAACAAACTCGAAAAGCGATCCCACACCAACGGCAGAGGCAAGGATAACCAATAAATAGCTAATAGAAAAAGAAAGAGCCCTCTCGTCCCGCTCCTTCGATCAGTCAGCGAACGGGAATAACCAAGTAGCTAACTACTGTATTTTTTTATTGGCTAGTTTAACGAAGATGGCCACGGTTGATTGTTATAATAATAATAGTTATTATTATGAGAGACGATTGGTGAATGGACCTGGCATGTCATTCACTTAGCCGATTTATTCGCGTGTCCATGAGCGCAAATTGCTAGCTTGTGGCACGTTCGAAACGGCAAAAAATAAACGTGGCCATAGCATCAGCTCCACGTAGCGCGTAAGCGTTGTGCGTGCGTTACGTGTTAGACACAACTAGGTATGTTGACCTTTGGAATCGAGAACTGACGGAGACAAAATCAGTCCTATAAACCTAGGAAATAAAACGGAAATGAGCATACATTTTGAACAAACAATGGCTAATCGAGCGTCGAAAACGTTCATCGACGCCGATGACGTCAGATGACGGATTCGTTCACTACTGAACAAAGAACAATTCCACCGGCCCCCTGTTGGGATGACAGGCTGTGGCGTATATACTGGTCGCATTAGAGGCAACACAGGCTGGCTTTGAACTACCCAAAACAACGGCCTTTCATTTATCTAGCATTGCATAATCCATCATGATCAAGCATATTAACAAATAGTAGTAGAAAAAAAGTAACCACTAAAAAACTTGTATGTAGTTTGCATTTCTCAACAGGTGAATTGTATTTAAACGATACTGACTGTATCTGTTCGATCTGCTACTCGCATCTAACGGAACCCAGTTTCGAAAGGGACCATTCAAAAATAAGTCAATAGTTAACCTATAGAGAAGACTAGTCCTAAGGCGATCCTATCCTCATGGTATCCTGTCATGGCTGGAACACGCGTAAACGTCAGCCGAACCGGCTTCTCTCTCTGAGCGGAAGAGCGGACAATGACAACTAAAAACCCCATATTTTAATAGCCGAGACTCCCTAGGAGACTAAACGAAGCATTTTTACTTATGACTGATCCTCTGCTAGCTTGCTGTAAACAGCTGTAAACCAACAAGATAGCAAAGGTAACCATTTTTTTGCTCGCCACTTCGAAAAGTGATGCGTCCTCAGCTGCAGCACGATCTCCAGCGATATCGATCGTAACTATGAAAAACTTATTTACTCGAATCGTGCAGAGCGTGCATGTGGTTCAGACTAATGCGGCGTCGTTAATTTTTCGCTATCGTTCAAAAAAGAAAAAATAGGAAAAAAAAACTGTTTTTCTTTTCTATGCGTAATCTATATTGTCCAGGGGTATCGTTCTGTTCAGTACATGAGGTATCTCAAGTTCTAGCCATTAAAAGCTGTTGACATTTGCAACTTAGCCTTCTGCACGAAAGCTAAACAAACTTCAAATCTGAACATTGTACGTGATGGATGCAAGCGATGGCTTAGATGAATGGAGCAAGCTTTCTTATAGCATTGTACAGCCAAGAGCCTGCCATACTAATCATGTCTGAAGTAATTTCCGCGCAACTATATACTTGGTCTTTTCTAAGCCCTCGATAATTAATCGCTACCGAAATAGCGTTCTCCCTTAATGAATGCCCTTCTTATAAATAACAACTGAACGGACAGGCAATAACGACAATAATAGGCCAGTATTAGACGATATGCTATTAGCTACTCTTCGAGCAAATATCCGCCGAAACAGTGCGGTATAAAATTAGGCCTTTTGCTTAAATGCAACGAACTAGAGAAAATCACGGATCCGTAGAAATAGTTTTCATTTTATAAATATAAATTTCATAAAATGAGCAACTCCGCAGTGAGACTACGTCACTTAAGATCAGCTTTGCCCCACAACCAGATGACAGCTATACTAATCGCGTAGACAAATGAACGAAAAAGGGGACTGACCTGGGGCAGAAGCCTTGGCCGCATTCTGTCCAGAGGATTCCTCCGCCTTTTAGCGCTTTTTCTTCGCTCTTCATTCGCCTTGTCAGCTACCTCGGTGTCTGTGTGTGAGTGAACTTGCTATCTTATTGTTATCACCACTAATTTTCGATGTGCAAACTACATACCTAAATGCAAACAGCAGTAGTTAAACATCACTGATTGATGATATTTGTGCTGCTGTCGTTTATAGCGCCGCTGTTTCCGTTCTACCATATCTATACAAGACACCCGTTGCGTTTTACACTGGCTTGTGCCCATCTTCTCCCGTTAATCGCGCTAATAATTCGTCAATCTGAGACACAAAAAACGTCGACAAAATGCACTATCGTAGTCGTTCGAGCATCGGGCAGCTAGGATGCAAGCGAACTCTGTAGTTAGTTCGTCAGTTATAGAAGGGGGAAAACTGACTGTGAAAGCGTACCGATAGCTTTTGTAAATCAGGACGGCCGCTGTAGAACAACGAGTCAAACAAGCGTGTGTGGATAGAATAGTTGGGAACTATGCCTCCTTAGCTGCTTGCGGTTTCCCTAGTCTGAATGTTACGCATAGGAATATGAAAAAAAGGAACGCAAAACCAGTTCGTTTTCTTCTAGCTCCTGCGTGGGGACCTCTCACTTGTTTTTAAGAGGATACTGGAGGAAACCACTTGTAATGTCTAGTAAGGTTAAAAAAAAGACAAGTTAAGCAGCGAATCCCCCAGCAAGAGGCTGTAGGCCATAGTCGGCCGGCGACTTCAACATCAATAACAACGCGGTTCCCAATCATTAAACGTAGTAAGCGAAGTTTTACGGGCATTGGAAGAACGCATATCGGCAAGTTGTTAAACGCCGACGACACTTAATCCATCGATCGATGGATCCGGATGGAGACTTCCTATCCACTAGGGAAATTTCGATTGCTCTATCTCGACAGACAGACATCTAGCTGAGTCCGACATATATATAGATATATATATATTCAAATAAGGAAAGAGCTAATAATAGCTAGGCTGCCACATCGTGACGTAGAGGACATAAGAAGATAAGATTAATGGACGATTGTTTACCCCATTGTGTCTGGCGATAATTTTATGTTGTTTGACCAAGCAACGAATACAAATGGGTCACACCAGTACAGGCTAATCGATCTATAACACTTGTAGTAATATATGCTGTCGATACTGGCAGGGTGCGCTCGAGTCGATTTGTGAGTTGGGCTGCTGAGTTGGACGAGTCTAAAATGCTGGTAGTACTTTGAATCCATCCATTTTTTTTACTGTTGCGGCAATAATATTACTAACTATTGTTCGGTTCGTCTTCTATTTGTTCCAGTTATCGTCGAGTGGCAGAGACGGACTTGCCATTAGGGACGTCCCGGCGTTTGTTCTAGGCAGCTGCTGACGAACCGATCGGCGTCCACCTTTTCGTTTCAAACACATCATTTCAGTCAAATAAATGATTACCACTTTTCAGTTTCCTTATGGAAAAAAGTTACGTCACATGAGTGAATATTAATGCGACGCCAGCTGTTAGAGGAGTCGGCCTAGTCAGAAAGATGGTCTCAATGAGGGGCCGCACAGATAATAGAGATATTTGTTAAAAAATGCTCGATAAATATACACCCGTGCATTTACTTGTGGTTAAATCCACAATATAACCAACTAATAATAATTATAATAACGTTAAACGTTATGTTGCCGCATTAAAGGACAAGCTAGAATGATGTTGATGTTGCGGTGCTGGTAAAGACTCGACCAGGGGATTGGCATCCTGCTGAATCAGTCGGACAAGGACAATTAGGACTTTCTTTAAGTTCAAGGAAAGAGCGAGCACGCCAAAACAAGAATAGGATTCAAAAAGCCTGTTATTGTTCCATCAAACATGTCAGTCCGAACTCCATTACGCAATAGGCAAATGAAAACATATGTAATTCAATTGAATAGAAAGGCTTGAATTTCTTCATCTAACGGCACGTTTAGCGCGGACGGTAAGGAAGTAACATGTCGTCCTCTCTGGAACATAGGCGGAACAGTTTATTACGATTTTCAATTGTCATTAGTAGCCTTACATGCAAAGGGCCGGCCTTCATGAATGACCTATGACTGAGTGTATGGTCGCGCAGCGTTACTTCCTTATACTCAAAACGATCTAAAGAACATGCGTTGCGTCGTTTGTAAGTGCCTTCTGGTTGCTGGCGGCCGCGATATCGCTGACGTCATCATGATTGTCGTCATGACCATGCTATTATATACGTACATACTATGGCATAATACATACACTTTGTAGTCCTTAGCGGTAGCAGTGGTAGTATGGTGGTAGGGCATTTTTGGCGTGTTGTATGATCGCACAAACGTGATTATATAATGGTGGAACCTATTTAGACACGAAGCTGGACTAATACTATTTTGCTTCAAGGCGGCATACGAGCGGAACCTTCTATCGTTGTGACCTCGTCTCAGAACACTCGCTGCATCAGCTATATGTTCTTCATTCACTCGTCATTACTATTGTTCGAGAAGCGCTGTTTCACAGAACATATTCTGTGCCGACGTATTCGTTTACACTCATAGCACTGCAGCAGTAATAGGACATTGTCTCCTGTTGGCGCTACGTTCGTTGACTCACACTTGCCAGATCCTCGTAACGTAGGCCTTCAGCCAGCGGTGTGTACCCAGCAGACAGGAGTACTTTCACTAGCAGTCACGCATTCTCTTCCATCACTAAAAGCGTGCCAACACTTAGACAAACCTCGGCAATTTAAACGAACTCAAAACAATAACGATGGTTACTGTTCGTAGAGTCGTAACCGCAACATCCCGAAGCGACCCTCACCGGTAAGTTAAGCTCACAGATGGACTGTGTTCCTAGCGTAAAGCACCCGATCTATAGATTAGCAGCATTTTATAGATAAAGTCGTACAATCGTTTCATGACTCTCTCTGAACTTAATTATATAGATCAGCTTCTTCGTTGGGAGTATAAGAATGTCAAGCTTGTTTAAAAAAAAAGCGAAATTATCTTACGAAGGGACTGCTGTGTATCGACATTTTCCCAGGCGAGCAGGTGCTCTGTTTCCCACAGTCTATACTATTACCTATGTACATTTGATGAAAATGTGCATTGCATAAATGGACAGATGATGCCAGCCGACATTCAAATATCCGAAAGTAACACACGCAACGAGAAATCCCCGAAATGTGCTTTAGTGAACAATTTGGCCTATGCTATCTACACAGGATGCAAGTTTAATATATAAAAAAGAAAGTAGACGTTTTTTAACATGAATATGGATGGTGGAGCGACAATAGCTTTCTTGATTGAAATTCAGTTTGTCCTAGTTGCCCAGATATACGATGGTAACGGCAACAGACAGGTACATTTTGGTTGTTCGTCCGCACGACACGCCCGTAGCGCATGCAATATACGTACATGTTAAAAAGCATACCTGTACGAGTATGTTCCAGGACTCTTAGGTACACTTTCCGAGGTCGGAGACGCTAAAATCTTTGAAGGGCCTTCGTCACCCGTGGACGCAAAGCGGGTCATTCTACCGCCGCCTGCGAAAGCAAGACTTCCATAGGGAACAGACATGCTACGGGGAATTTCAAGCGGGGGACCGGTAGGACGTTGTCGCTTCTTGCGCTGAGTCCTGTAATAACATAAACAGGCTGGACATATTTATGACACTTATTTGTTTATATCCTACCGAGACTCCTGCAAAATAAGATGACGGACCAAATACAAGCTTTATGAACTTCAGTTCAGCTCAACTATCATTTCCTGCGTATCGGTTATTACCAAAGTAGTTGATTATTGTCGGGCAATTTCTGTTCGATTGTGAATGTCTTCTGTTATGTACTAGAGAAGTGATGTTTAAAACCCTTTGTCATCCCCTCACACTTTTGCCTGCCTGCCCTGCCCTCAAACTTGTCTTATAATTTTAATAAGCATCGGTACACAGGCATCTTAGTACTTAAAATATTTCCCTCAGGCCGCACCGGATTTTGGCCTTCCCTTAATCATATCGAAAGATCAACACCTACCATATCAGCCCTTAGTAAGATTGTAATATCTTTATCAAACTGTGTACATATTTGTGTACGTAGCAAATACTTTAAACGAGTACAGCGTATCGTTAAAAGATCAAGCATCTTGGATGCTGAGTGGACATTTTCAGTGCGCGTTAGCGTACTGACAGGAAATGCGTCAATAAAGTGGCGCTAAATAGACACGACGGCAAACCAGCCGATCTAATGAGTAGGCGACGGTTAGACAATACTATGAGCGGAGCCAGTAGTAACCACTACCTTATAAACATCTTACCTTACGGAAAGCTATTCAAACCCCATGCACATAATAACGAAAAGGCATCCTATGATTTGTATTAGCAGAACACAGAGTGAAACAAACGAGGCACGAGAGCATCAGCAGTAGTCTAGTCATCACCAGAGACGTGGTGATACATTTATTAGGCTCTAATACCAACAGGCCAACAACGATTCGATTGGATTGGCGAAGGCTGTCTCGTCTGCTACGAACACATAGAATCGACGAACGATCACTGCCTCATCCCGTATCGATTTAGTAATTTCGTAAGTATAAAGTTATCTCAATTACTTCGTCCAGTTATGTTTGACCCGTACAGCTTTTAACGGGGGGATATTAATACTAAGTTATATCAACCTTTTGTAGAGTATGCAGTGCTACGTCCGCAGCATGATATAGATAACCATGATACAAGTTACGTATTGTGCATGTCGTCATTTTACAGTGTGTATTGCTCGGTTAAAAGTAACCGTAGTTTCTTTAGATCTCTGCAAACGAATACTGCAATTAAAAGTTAGACTAATAAAAGTTCTTATCTAATAGTAGTTATTCTCAGTCGGAGTTCACTGTAACTTTAGCAGAACGTCCTTCGGGGATTGGATTGGCGCACGCGTCTAGAACATAACTTTTTTGTGGAGGCTTGCTGGTGATCGCATTAGTGGCTTTAGACTGGCAAATTTTAGGACCAGTATCACCACCTTGACACTTTGCAATTCCCGGACATTCACTGTTTAACTAATCCTCTTTTTTCGATGTTAGCTTGTATTTAACAGTAACACTCAATTCAGAACCATAGGCTCTAATTAGTTAACAGCGCCTGGAAATAACTTACAGGTTTAAAATGTGAGATATTCATCAGCTAAACTTTATTACTACCCTAATT